AGACAAAGTGATGGTTTTTCCTTCAGAAAGTATACGGCCATCCTCTAGCTGCTTACCGGTAAAGATAAGCCTCTGTTGGTCTGAGGAGATGCCCTCCTTGTCCCAACGAAAATTTGCATTCCGCCCCTCAGCCTTTGACTTAGTAAATTCTATTTGTTATTTCTTTGCCTTAAAGGTGAGAAGAATTGTTATTTCTTTGCCTTCACTGAATCCATATAATTCACGAGCTACATCATATTTATGACATGTATTATTTATGATATATGAAAGGGTTGTTTGTTTTTTGGTGATTAGATTGCATGCACGTTTCCTATTCCATGTGTGATTAAATTTTTTTGCTTTGTATGTTGATTGGATGGATAGTTACGAACATTCTGTGCTATGTCATTTTACTTTAGCACACACGTGATGCAGGTAGGCAGCAAATTCATTCGGAGGGTTGCTTTTTGAGTTGATCATGTGCGTTGATCAAGGTATGATGAGGAATTTCTGCAGAATAATCAAGAGTACAGACAAAATGAGAGCCTTTGACTTAGTAAATTCTATTTGTTATTTCTTTGCCTTAAAGGTGAGAAGAATTGTTATTTCTTTGCCTTCACTGAATCCATATAATTCACGAGCTATATCATATTTATGGCATGTATTGTTTATGATATGTGAAAGGGTTGTTCATTTTTTGGTGATTAGATTGCATGCACGTTTCCTATTCCATGGGTGATTAAATTTTTTGCTTCGTACGTTGATTAGATGGATAGTTACGAGCATTCTATGCTGTGTCATTTTACTTTAGCACACACCTGATGCAGGTAGGTAGTAGATTCATTAGGAGGGTTGATTTTTGAGTTGATCATGTGCGTTGATCGAGGTGTGATGAGGATCAAGAGTAAAGATAAAATGAAAGCTGAGGCTAAATTAAGAGGTGAAGTGATTTGTACCAAAAGACAACCAAAGGGACCCAAACCTGGGTTCATGCCTGAAGGTGCAACTGTTGAGACTATTACTCCTATTCCATATGATGTGGTTAATGATCTCAAGGGGGGTTATTAAATTACTTCAATTCCATATTGGGATATGATTAAATGGAACGGACATTGAGACTGGACATTTCTTTGTGGTCTAATTAAATTGATGTTCATGTTACTTGGTGAAGTAGTAGTATTTTGTACTTTAATTTTGTGGAGTTGAAGGTGTTATAGCTGTACAAATGATTCATGGTATCTAATGATTTTGTGTATAATGGAGCGCGGTCAAAGGATCGAGGACAATGATTATTTTAAAATTCGCATTAGCATAGTATGAAAAATTCGTTGTTATCTTTGCTACGTTGGCCCAAACATTACAATCGGTGTCTGTTTATTTCAACATGCGTTTTAGTATAAATTAGTTTGTTCGTACAAATTATAATTTATTTGAACAATGGCTTGTTGTGTCACCTAATGTTCATCTTCATTGGCAGGGGCATTAATTTTATCAATTTTCAATGCAATTCAAATGATTTAGAATTTAAAAACTGTATTCAATTATGACTAAGGACTACAAAAATTCAGTAAAGTAGTATAAATTCCAAATTGATTGCCAATCCAGCTGCAGAAACATTGCCATTGCTGGTCTTGCACATGGGTACAATTTACTCATAATTCTCACCATTTATGGAGAGAGCCTAGAGGTAAAAGTACACTTACACCATAAACCATCACACCAATGGTCAATCAAGTGTTAAGTAGAAATGAATTGGTGGTTGATTGTAAAATTGCTTTAAATGTCCTCAAAAACCTCCAGTATATAGCATGGCTTACACTGTTGAAGTGGGATATATGAGACTCTTTGTGAGGCATCTTGTAGCAAGAACGTATCTCAATATTTAAAGTGTGTTTCTTCATATCAAAACAATAACATCGTCCACGGGAAGCAATTCACCACTCCCAGTTGAGGAGCCTTTGCCAACACCAGGTTTAATCCCGCTATGTCCCATCGTAATTTCTTCGGATGATGAGGAAGTGAGTTTGAATGGTGGTAGGAGAGCCATCACCGTCATTTCCTTTCCGAACCTGGACGAAGTTACAAGTGATGCAGGTGAGTCTCCGAGAAATGTGCTTGAATGGGTCGTCCCATTTATGGTTGCAGATGAAGTTGAACGTCACGAGGATGAAGGGCAGGGTCGCGTTCCATCGCCCGAGGTAATTGTCATCAGCTCAGATGATTTGGATAATGACGGTGGGGAAGAAGGTTCGAGTGTTAGCTTCGAGTGAAGTGTCCGGCTTTGTAGCATGTGTGGGTTTCTACGTATGTATGTATAGTCTTTTTTTGTAAGGGATGAATTTTGTTACGTATGTACCAATTGTGTAGCATGTAGGAAACTCTCGTTGGCATGTTATGTATATTTTGTATTTTGTTAAGCGGACCGTGGAACAACTGTCGAGAATGGCAGGCACCATCTGTTTGGAACGACAGCTGAACTGTCCGGGTTTACTGGCAAATTTTCTGTGTCTGTAATATGCATATGAATTATAACATGTATTTTGGGTGAACGAACACACCCTCATGTGTACATTCAACGTACATTGTGAACAATGCCAACAGTGTTATGCACTAAAAATGATGTGTTCGTAATATGCATATAAAATGAAACATGTATTTTGGTTGAACGTTTCCTATTCCGTACATTCAATTTACTTTGTGAACAATGGCAACAATGTTATGCACAACAAAATTGTATTTTGGTTCGAGGGTGTTATACAGTACGTTGTGCCTATTTGCGTACTGTAATTGTGAACATAAGAAAGAGTATTGTTTATGCCTAAGATAATGAAAACAGTATTACAATATTTACATTTTCATATACAAACGACATCGGAGGAACACTTAACTTACAACTTCAACCACTCAAGTACAAAATATTGTTTACATCGGACGTGGTACAGTGGAATTCGAACATGTGGTCCAGTTATGACCAAGTCCACCGCAGCGAGTGCATTTCCTAAGTCGTGTGGTACACTCGTGTCTAAATCTCTTACATTGTGTGGGTGGTCTACCTGGAGGACGATGTACACTGGGAGGCATAATAGGAGTACCTATAATTTCGGTTGGAACAATCCAGTCCACTTCACGCGCAACGGGATATATAGCTTCTCTATAGGCACCCTTCCAATATTCAAATGAGTAATACGGTGAGCATAGATCGTACAATGACTTATCTCTCAAGCAAGCAGCATGGGTTGCGTGAACGCATGGCATACGATTCAGTTGGAACTCACGACAAGTGCACGTGTTTTCGGAGAAGTCTACAATGTCTATGTCGTTGGATATTCCAACTTGTGTTATCTGTCAAGTCATGCACTCGCGGCCTAGTACCTGCTTCGACCGTCGTCCGTAACTCATTCTCCATCCTTGGTGACAGTACGGTACTATATGCAGTTACACTGGCTCGATGTTCATAAAACCACTTCTGCATAGTATGCCGAATGTGTTCTACGAAGCACGTGATCGGTAACGAACGGGCATGTCTCAATATTGAGTTCAAAGATTCTGCGTTGTTGTTGGTCAAAATGTTGTACCGTCGGCCAACATATAGTGCCCGTGACCAAAATGAAAAATCTGCCCGTTCCAAGTATCCGTACGCTCTTGCACTTACCCTACGAAACTGTTCCATAAGTTTTTCAAACTCTTCGATTCGGTAAGTTCTTGCGGCTCTTTTGAATAGAAATATCGAACTTGCGTTGTTGTACCGCTAGATTAAATTCTTTTCCATATACCAGACATAGCACCCGTGGTAAGCCCGAGGAAATAGGTGGGCAATGACGTTTTCAATACTATTTTTCCTGTCGGAAACAAACACCAATTCGTCCGAGTCACCTATAAGATCTTTCAAATTTGATAAAAACTACATCCATGATCTATTCGTTTCGGCATCAACGATCCCCCACGCTAACGGATAAATCTGTTTGTTGGCGTCCTGGGCAGTTGCCAGTAGAATAGTACCTTTGTATGGACCTTTCAAGTGACTGTCGTCAACACAAATAACAGGCCTGGGGTAGTGCACGTAACCCTAAATGCTTGCACCGAAAGCTAGGAAAAAGTATTGAAACTTGTTACGAGAATCAACTTCGATGTGTGTTACTGTCCTTGGGTTACCCTCTCTTAGGACGTGACAGTAGGAAAAAAGTTTTTGAAAACTATCACCCGATGTACCATGTAACATATGTAAAGCAGAAACATTTCCCCTACGTGATTGATGGTAACTAATTTTCACTCCAAACTCACGTTCCATGTCACATGCAATAGCGGTAGGATCATACGATCAGTACGGATTTTCTAATTTCCCCATATTCTGCACAGCAATTACGGAACTAGTGGCATGTCAATGTGCATTACGACGATAATATATGGAACATGTGTGCATATTGTTGAATTTGTGGATCATGAAGATGGCACACTGCTTGACACTCGAAGCACGTAACATCCACTTGCAATTATCGTCAGCGCATACAACGGTTAACAATTTTAGGCTTGACCTGCTATCCTAAAATTGAAACTTGTCTCGCAAAGCAGGTAGACGAATTCTCGAGTACAATTCTTTCTTGGTAAAAAATATTTGCCTTTCGATAAGATCTGACGTATTCACAGTGGAAATCCAGTCGCATGTATTCGGACTTTTGGAATGTAATAATAGTTCTTCGTCAACGTCAGCAATATTACCAGTATTTGTACCATGTAAGGAGTCGTCGAACATCTCATCTAATAGTGCAGTCCTAACATCGAAAATTGGAGTATCGGCTGCATTATTGTTGGGGATATTGTGCTGATGATTGAGTTCGTCGTCCTGTACGGTTTGGTGATCTTCCGCTGCAGTGAACAATTATTGGTTGTAATTTGTATCCCTCTCCATTTCAACACTTGGCAGGCCGATTTCCAAAGTCGTAACGCGGAGAGCAGTTTTCTTATGAACTGATATGTACCAATTTACGTCTTCATCTTCAAGTATTTCGGCCAGCGGTATATTCATGTTGGGAACTTTGAACTACAATTCCATTTTTGTGCGTGGATCGAGAACACCAAGTTTGCCGTTCAATCGTAACAATAGTCCGGGTAGTGTAATACTACTCGGCACTAAAATGGAAGTGGTTTTGTCCACAGTCCACTTCCATTCGTCATTCATGTGAACGAACTTTCCCCCATGCGACACGATAAATCTCAAATTATTGTTCATACCTAAAATGTGGGGATTGCAACAAAAAGAATTATGCGCAATCAATATGTCGATTATCTAATAGCATGGAAGTGACACGTTCGAATATTTAAACCTATGCAATAGTACGAGGTCAAATGAAGGGTGTCAAGTGTTTTCAGCTATCCAATTCGACAGTTTAGTTATCTATCTCGACAGTTTCGAAATGTCAAGTTCGACAATTCAACTATCGGAACTGCCGAGAAGTTTCGAATATGTTTGGTAGTAGTAATGGTTATAATCATTTCTCAACTACTACAACTACAACATCACAACCTATTTTTAGAAATAAATGACTGAATGCTTCATTAAATATGGAATACTTCACATTTCCCTAAATATTTTTGGTATGTTTTCCTTCAAAAATTTAATAAAATAAGAATATGATGATTAATAGTAGTGATTATCATGTTGTTTTTAATATTTTAAAAAGAGTAAGCTATTACATAAAAATATAAACAATTCGTAATAACTGACATTTCAAAATAGATGAAGAAGATGGATAAAATAATGTCTTCTTAATCAAGAAGAAAATGGATGAAGAAGATGAATGAAATAAGGGTTTGTTTAACAAGAAATTTGTTTTTTATGTTAACTAGGGTTTTTAAGGATTTTATATTCATTTTTTATTAATTAAATTCGTATTTTACAATATAATATTAATATATTCAATTATAATATACAAATTAAACAATCAAATTACAACATTAATTGTTTTGAAAAACAATCATGAAGGAGCATTAAATGCTCCAAAAAAGTCAAATTAAGGGTAATTTAGACATTTTACAACAGAAAGGACATTTTTGTAAATTTCCCTAAATTAAATTGAACTATAAAGTGAAATATATTTAATTTTTTATGTAGAGTCAATTTTTCATAAATATTTAGCCCTATTTTGGTTTTGAATAAAAATTAGATTTTGATAAAAGTTATGAAAATGTTTGATTGGAAAGTTAATAAAATTGTAGATCTCACGAAATGTGTGATAAAAAATATATTTGAAAAATAATGAATTTTAAAAATTGAGGGTCAAACAGTGACTTAGTGTAAGCGCGAACTAGAAATAGAAGTGGCAGCTCCACTTGTGGCCATATCGTGTCATGGATTTTATGGCATACCAGGCCTGGTCCTCATACAAAAAGAGGGCTATGCTTGGCGTGGACCTTGGCCCAATTTTGATCACAAATGCTTGACGATTGCGGGTCCAGATCCTTTATCGTCAAGCCCAGGTGAATACGACTTTGAGACGCCTACGTCACAGGTCAAACGACATCGTTTCGCTTTCGCAACTACCAATCTCTCTCTTTTCCCGAAACAAGAGCGATAACTCTGAACAGTCCCATTGTTTCACAAAAATGGTGGAGGTGGATTCAGGTTCAACCATAGCTGATGAAGAAGAAAGTACGGAGTCGCCGCCTTCGCCGAAGGTAGCATTTTCCATCAGTTTAATAGAACAGGAGAAAATCCAGTTCCGGCGCCCCAAGTCCGCCGTTCCACCACCACAACACACCCCCTGGTCAATGGTTGCCATCAGAGATTACGGAGACGACAATAAGCACCCAACGATCATCTTCCCTCCAATCAACCACGAGAACCTTCAGATTTCTAAAGATACTCATCGAGTTCACGGCGAATCATCGATAACATCTTCACCGTACAATGATGAATATTCCGAGTCCGATTCATATTCGTATTCCGATTCAGACTCAAACTCAAACTCCTCGGCCACATTTTCTCCGTCCGATTCCAGCGCAGCGAGTGCATCTCTTTCGTCACGAAGTCCCAAGGCTAGGTCGGCAGGTGACATCTCTCTATGGTTCGATTCATGGGTTGAAATACTGCGTTCCAAAGTGAATAATAGCATGAGTCTTATCTGGAATAATTTGGCTTCGACGATGAGGGCCGCGTTGACTTTTCGATCCGCCGCAGTGGCGGCGATGTTGCTAATGTTTCTATATTTCCGGCAGAGGAGGAGATTGAGGGCCCAGGAAGATAGTACAAATCAGCTTATTCGCATTATCAAAGAGAAAGATGAGGTAATTTTCTTCGCTTTCAAACTGTTTGTGAAAAACCCGCATCGAATTTGTGAAATAAGCCCATTATGATATTGATAATTGTTGCATCATTTTGCAGAAAATCAATCGCCTATTGGATCAAATTGCAGGGATGAATCAAGCTTTGCTAGCATTTCATAGAGTTCCCAGTAGCACCAGCACTTGAGCCAATCCATGCATTGACCTATTGGCCTTGGTCATGCTCTTTATATTTTGGAGAAGAGTGATATTTTTTAGCGAATTGGTGATAAAACATCAGTCTAGGTGTCATTAAATAATAGGCTAAATTTCGTCGAATCTACCACATTAGTGCCAGAATGCTTACTGGCATACAACCATGTTAGTAACCAGAAAATGTCTATTCTTCTTTAGAGACCAAGCAGGAGTGTGTAACATAGTGTTGTCTAATCGAGTTCTATATGTTGTTCGAGCTCCCTAGATATAGCCTAGATTTTTATTCAAGACTCGTATAATTTAGGACTTGTTTGACAAGATTTTTGCTTTTACTTTTTGTAGAAGATTTGTCTGGTAAAGATACCTTAAATTTTCTTTAAAAGCTCTTCTCATCGTGAGATGTCCATGGTAATGTCTAGAAACATGTAAGGCACATCTCATTCAAAATAATTAAAGATTTAATTTAATTTAATTTTTTTTATTCTTTAGTTTTATCCAGTTTAACGTACTGGCAATCGTCCTGTGCCAAGAGTTTCATCAAGATATAGACTATGCTAAAATTTTCCACCAAAATTGAAATTCAATACCAAACAAGGAAAAATACATAATGTCAATATCAACGAGTTTTTGAAACTATAAAATTCTGCAGCCGGTCTAGTGTTTTGAATTCATAACTTAAATCAAGCATTTAACATAACACAATTTTGCTTACATCTGTAGCTTTTGTATGTTATTTCATTACAATCCTCCAACCCACTCAATCTCTGAAATGTTTTTCCAAGCCAGTCCTCCAGAAAAAGATAAGAATTATCGACCTGTCTTAATTTAAGCTGACTGAACTGATAAAGAACCAAAAATTAAGAAAAGAAAATGTTCCACTTTGAATAACCTTGTGAAAAAGTAAGAGAGTTCCTGTCCATGTCTCTACGGCTTTACATAAATATTATAACAACCTGTGACGCTTCAGAACATGATCATCGTACAATCTTGAGCTGATGATTCTTGATCGCTCATCTGAAATTAACTGGGTACTGCAAAAACAATACATGCAATTAAGGCAGAATGCAAATCATCGATCAACAAATTATTAATCGACCATGATTTATCAAACAATAACATAACAGCATTACAGTCGAGAAGGGAGGATGCCTTTATAGGTCTAAGGCGAGTGTGAGTAGGACACATGAGTTTGGTTCATTTCATACCAGAGAAGCCTATGTATGAACAAGGATTAATTTTACTTCCCCATGTAGCTACTCTGACTTTGGGAGGGGAGATTATAGACACCTTTCCATACTTTGTATCTGGAGTACTTCCTTTATTTTCCTCTACAGTATTGGATTAAAGGAGATGGAGGGAATTGTTCTAAGGTTGTAGACTATTGAACAAATCGATATAATTCATAAACGACAAACTTTTCCTTTTCAGCCACTCCCAGGTAAATAAATACAAACACAGCTGCCAATCTCACTCTCGAACTGTGTCTCTTCAACAACTATTGTAGCTACCCACGCAAATTCAACCTCAAATTCAAATGAACCAACACAACCACTGCACAAATAGATCTCATACTCGGATATCTAATAAAATCAAGCTCTATCACATTCAAGGCTTCAGCCTTATATCCCATTATCCCCAAAAATTTAAAAATTATATGCAATTTTCAATGTACAATGAATAGCAAGGGCAAGAGTGAAAGAGTAAATCTAACCAAATGAAAACAGTACCTACTTCCCACAACTGCAAAGTAGTATACTCTTTTGTGATAGGTATTTAACACTAGATTAGAAGGTAAATTATTTTTATCCCAAATCCATATAATGCAAGTTCTTGTGATATAGCAGCATGCTTTACAAAGAAATGCATAGTATTGTTGATAATCAGAGTACCATGATGATAATGTCAGATAAAATAGCAACACATTATGAGTTCAGTTTAATTAATTGTATATAGCCATGCAGCAGTTACCAAAATTATAGTCTACCAAAGACCAAATTTGAAACTGGAAATTGCAATACATACACAGTGTTGCTCACTGAAGACAGTATAGTAGCTAGCTCCTAGATCCACTGCTCGGATGCACTGAATGCCGAATATCAAACTGATCTACATTCACCAAAGGAGTAACAGTCTCATTCCGGATCCTCTTAATATTGGGGCTCACCAAGCCTCTATGCCTAAACCCATACAAGTTCAGCACTTGATTATCCGCAAAGTTGAAAGCCCTTTCCATACTCTTCAAGCACCTCTCGACCGGATAATCTCCATAGCTTCCACAAGGCTTACAACCTACAAAATGTGTCACAAATGGCCACCTCTCATCGCCCAAACCTGGATGATACTTCTCAATCATCTCCTCGTACCGATCCACCAAACCTGCCCAATATCCATGCAAATAATACGAATTCTCAACAAAAACCTTGTCCATCCACTGATCCTTCTGAGAAATCAGCAAGTATATCAATGCAGACTGATCGTCAGCCTCAAATGCTGGCCGACCCTTCAAATTTGCAGTCAATATCTTTCCGGCTTCCTCTCGAATTGGACCTTTTGGTCCCATTGGCGCCCAAGTATCCAACAAATCCAAAGACCACTGACAATTCCTGAACAAGAAACTACCTGTGTTCAATGCGATCCATGACTTCTGATCAAACAACAAATCGGGGTACCCGTGGATAACCATATTGTAATCATTGTACTTCGAAACAGGTATCTCAAAAACCATATCAGTAAACAGAGCATCACTATCCATCCACCAAATCCACTCAACTTCAGGATGAGATAACATTAGCCTCCTTATCAACGGCAACTTCGCCCAATACCCCGCCATTTCCATATCCAAATGGGCCATATTATACACAGTTTCTATCCCGTGAATTCTACAGTAATCAATCTTATTCTTAATAGCCTTCAATAAGTAATGATCTCCTATAGCATTATCACAAGGGTTTGGGGGAGAGCCAGTAACAAGTAAGATCCGGGGTTTGCCATTAACATAATTGGGGAATTGAGGGTTTTTCTGAAGCCATACCTTCCGGTCTTCATCCCATGTATTAATTCTAGGCCCAAGAGTATAAGTAACATTAGGGTTCAAGAATTCTTCAGTTGGGTCATCCGGGTCTGTTGGGTCCTTATCAGACCGGATCTCGGCCAGGATCCGGTTCGTCTCTTCAATTAAGTGCTGGTTCTCAACGTCCGCCTCGGAGGAAACGAGGCTTCCAAGCCCTATTGTACCACGCAGTACGAGGATTGTTACAAATCCACAGAGGATTGTTATCTTGATGTTGTTAAAAGTCTTCTGGATCTGCCGGCCACGGGGGATTACAGAGGCGGCGCGTCCACGAACTCCGTTGGCGGAAACGGTTGTCGGCAGCCCGCCGGATGCTCTCTTTTGAGGAGTAAACGTACTTTCCGAACCCATCAATTAAAAAAGCCTCTGTATATTGTGTATATGGGTTTTTGAGTTCAACCCTTAATTTATCTATCAAATATGGCTACTGCCCAGTACCCACCTAGTGTAGATTTGCCTGTGTATGCATTTGTGTGTATATAATAGAGAGAAGAATGGGGATGTCTATTTAGAGAGAAAGTGAAGAACAAGTATATAAACAGCACCGACTTGAATTGTGTTTTTTCTTATGTCTGATTCATCCATATTGTTTATCAATTTTGATGGAGTGAAGGTGAAATTTTGTAATGCAAATCCCGCTGTACACGGGCTGGATTTAACGCGTACAGCTCAAGCCATGTTCAAGCTGTTTTGAGGTTTTTCATGTTTTTCTAGGTCTTACTTTTGAGCAATGTTATTAAGCCAGTTTGGCCTCCGTTCTTTTTCATTTTTATTTTTTTTATCTCTTATTTACAATCACACAATATTACTTAAAATAATATTACACGTAAATCGAAAATATTTCATTCTTTTTCAATCACACATCCTTAAAAAAAACACTATTCCAAATATCAAAATTTGAAAAAAAAAAAAAAAGTGTGAGCCAAACGGGGGCTCAATCAATTGCACGACGTCTAACGTGACAATTAGATGACATTTATTTAATTTACAAATTTAAATGATTCATTTAATTGGATCTATAAAAAATAATTACCTAAACTGATGCTTGATAACGTTATTCTTTGAAAAACACTACTTGTCTAGGGCTACATGAATTCTGGATAGACGAGGTGGCCCTGGACATATAGCAGGCCTCTTACTTTTTACTACTTTTTTCTTGTTTCTTTCTTTTCTTGAAATTCATTTTCGGCAACACAATTTAGAGAAAATAGCGTATTCATACTTGCTTGATTTGAATAGTATTCATGACTCTCCACGACTTTATTAAGTGGATAAATTCGTACATGTACACATGTAGTGATCATATCTATCAAGTGGATAAATTTGTAATTTGCGTTATGGCCGGGTTTGGATTGGATTTGGTACTTTTGAAGAAAAATTGGTGGACTTGGACAATGGTTGTGTTGTATCGTGGTTGCATATTGAAAATTTGATTCGCTAACAAGATCACATTGAAGAATGAGTTTTAGTCTAATTTAAAAGAATAATGTTATTTGCAATCGCTTATCACCCTAGTCTTCATATGTGACATACATATGACGATTAGTGATTTGATACATTAATATGATAGTTTTTATTACCTATATAATAAATTAATAATCATCACATGTATGCCACGTAAGGTGTTCAGGAAATTATTATTTCGATTTAAATTTTGTAGGTGTATGGTTCATAACAAGTAATAAAGTGAAATGAAGAGTTCCGAATGTCGTCTCAGAGAGTTTGAGTTAGCTTAATTTTACCTATCTAGACCTTAACCGAAACAAAATTGTCAAACGTGGTATTCGTAACTTGACTATATATAAACTAGATTATGTATGCACCTGTTAATGAATTAAATGAAATTAGAATGCAAAGTGATGTTTGAATTACAAGTTTGTTAAATTTAATTAATGAACAGTGCACTAGGATTGTGAATCCCCATGCAACGATCTCTTTCACCCTAGTTCTATAAATTGACAACATGCTTAAAGCTTTGAAGAATCAATGTTCCTATCCTATCCAACAATCTCTCTCGAGTAATGTTGAACCTACTATCATACATGACCCTATTATGTTTCTATGACGGATACGAACATATAAGAATACATGAGGTTTTGTGAACATTTAGAAATTCACGCAGGGTATAGCGATATATCTCTATCCCCTAGGCCCTATCGAACCCTAAGATGGTTTATACCTTGTCGAACATATTTCCCTTCTCTTGAATGCATGAAAAAAGCTACCAAACTCACATAATCACGTGCACATAATCATGTAAGAATTTAATTGCATATAAACTATTTAAAATTCAAAAAACTGTTCTTTTGCCAATATTGTAAAACTAGAAATCAAAAGTTTACATTACAAGGTTCATTATTCTCCTAGTACATAAATTCCTAGCCTAACATGAAGAAAGAAATAAAACACAAAGAAAATTTAAGATACGACATCACCAGGTTAATATTCTACTTGAATCTTCGCGTAATCCCGTCGATCTTCGTGTTTTTCCTCGTGTTTTGTGGCTCAAAATTTCCTTCAATATGTGTTCTTGTGTCTTCCACGCATTTCCCCTTTCAATTGATGGCTTTAGGGCTTTTATATCTTTCCCGCGACTTGTTTCCATATGAGTTTGAAGTAGAAACAGAAACTGAGAATCTAACGACAAAAATCAATCATGGGATTGCATGGTTTAGTGAAATGGCCCTCTTGCTTCTCTGTCTTCCACCATGTGACCGCATGGTGAGGACCATCTTTCAAACATGTCGTTTTGATCCTCTATTTGCAATCTCGTGTGTTTTGACTTCTTCTCTCATTCTCTTTTCTCCCGATACTTCAAATCTTCAACCAATTAGTCATTGATCATTCAACATCTTTGTTTATGCCTTCATTTCATCTTTCGATTATTTGCACTTTGGTTCCTGAACTTTCATTTTGGCCATTTTTCACATTTTTTTTGAATTTCGTCGTATCCACCAATGTAGTCCTGCAAAATGAAATTGGATAAAGTTAAGCTATAATTCAAATGCTTTAATCAACAATTAGCCATGTTTTGTGGCCGAATAAGTATGTAAAAATGCACTTATTGTAGGGCATCTACGATAATGAGTGACTGCAAATGACAATATTCTATTTAAAAATGGTTCCATGTTTCACGGGCATCTTATTGATCAAAATGGTAGGATCAAGTCCATATTTGAGCACCATTTTCTGGGAAAATGTGTTTTGAAATAGTGATTTTTTTTAAAGAATATTTGATTAAGAAAAAGGGAAAAGTTTTAAGTTTACTGTAAAATTATTTTATAAAAGAATGTACGGTTGACAATGAGTTTCAAAAAAAAAAATGGAACTCAAACAAGAGCTAAGAATTTCAATTGGGATTGACTCAACCTAGATAAATTCATTTCTTTTTGCCTAAGTCTACTGCGTTCATTTATTATCTCACTTGAAGTTTCTTTTATTTTCCTCTTTTCTGTTCCTCTTGAATTTATTTTCGTTAGTGAAATCTAGAAAAGTTTCGTTCATTCATACTAATTCGAATTGGAATATTAGGTGGGTTTTGGAGAAAATTTGGATATTGTCCAGAACCCGTCGAATTGTGATCATGTATAATTTTTATAACTTTTTTTTTTATAACTTTTCGCGCGGGTTAGTCGCTAACAATTAAAAAGAGATCAGATGATTGTGTAAGAGACAAACCTCTTGAGACAAAGTCCCAAAAAGGGGTGTTTTTATTGGCGATGACTTTACAATTGGAAAATAAAAGCAGAATGCCTCCAAGGGGCGCAAGCACACGAGTTACTGAAAAGAAGTGTTTAAATCTAAACTAAAAAATTGAAAGTTACATATTCTCTGTTTGAGAGTGTTTGATTCGGGGTCCTTTGCTCTATGTCTTTTCTTCCTTTTATACTCCCTGGATGATCTCTTCGTGATCAACCGCTTAAAAACTGCTTGATCGCTCTATAACTGTCCACTTTCCTCGTAGTGGCCAACTTGTCATGGAACTGCCTTCTCTAACTGCTGCCGTTACTTTTTGTCATTCAACCATCTTCAATTGAATTCCTTGAATCGTGGAACGTGATAGGGCTACTCAATAACTGCTTCATTTACCGCACCTTTGAGTAACCATAACATCTTACGTTTGCTAAGATCCTGGGCGACTCGAAGGTTTGGAAGAGAACAGGGGCACAGTTCTGGGCGACTGCATGGCAATCCATTCGCTCAACTCTTGAGCGACTTGTAACTTTGGACGATGGTATTACCGCGTTCATGGGCTTCCCTATTTGGGCCTTTATCCTGCATTACCTGATTGGGTCGTTCTTTGGGCTATTTGATTTTGGGGATCTTCCAATTGAGCTTCATTCCTTGGGCTATTCGACTTGGGCTGAACTTTTTGTGTGTCAACAATAACTCAGGTGTCCAAATTTCGCCTGATAATCTTGAGGAGTGGCAGTCTTCCCCCTGGTTCGTCCCCAGGTAAATTCGGATGCGATCACAACTTATACACACTTGGGCCGGACATTTGGAATGCGGTTCTCCTCCCTGTAAACCTCCCTTTACAATGTACGAACAGGATCTCCGAAAGGGGCGACAAAGCACGTCATAACTTTACCTCTACAAGACAACTGCCGCTAGCAAGATTTCCTTGAAGAATGACTAATGCTCTTCGTAACGATGTAGCGTTTCATGGATTTTTTATTGATCAGAATTGTAAAGGTTAAGAATTTCAAATAAGGTGAAGTGGTGAACTCAAATGAGACAAATTAGTTTCTGTTGTAAAATTAACGTGATTTGTGCAATTAACTATCAATTATAAACATGAATCAAATAAAATAAATATGAGAATAGAGTTAGGAAAGTTGGCTTAAGAGAGTAACGATAACCACTGTCTTAAAGTTGTGTGGCCTCCCCTTCGTACGAGTACTTTCAGCACTGCACGATTTCAAGATAAAACCCTTATAGATCGCAACCAATTCTCCTCCTATGGACACTACCACAGGGAGAGAAAGAACAAGTCTTTATCAATTTCTAAAGTTTATAGAAGATAATAAAATGACTAGAGTGTGGTATGAAAAGACTAGAGATGATTTTTGTTTTTACTTTTTTTTTTTTTTTTTGTGTGTGGGTCAAAGAATGTGAAATTCACACCTTTTTATAGTAGAAAATTCAACCATCTCATAATGAAAATTAATAAAATTCAACATAGGTTACAATATAATAATTGGTTTTAATATTTTATATTGAATCTAAAATTAAAACAAAACTGAAAAATAAAAAAACTAAAATTGAAAACTTGATTTTAAAAAAATGAAAACTGAAATTTTAAGATCATATTGAAAGTTTTATAACTTATTTTCCAACAATCCCCCACAAGTTTTAAAACTTTCAAAATAATTATATATATGTATATAGTGATAATATTATATTGTGTAATGGGTGTAGGTGTCTTTTGGACTTGAACCTCACTTAATGATAACAATTTTCATTTGAAGGAGCCATAATGGACTAAACCTTGAATTATGTCACTTTAACCAAATTTCAATTGCTCCACACACAATATCAATTTAGGATCAGTTCATAGCAGGTAGCGCTATTAATGGGCATACGCTCTTATCTTGATTCTAGTAAAAGTCTCTGAGAAATAGCCCAATCCCATAGTCACGGTCTCATGACAACTCTTATATAGATGAGTCCTCCAAGAATGCGTGTGACCCACACCTAGCGAGAATTCTCGAATCAGTACTCATTTAGGGTTAAACCCTTCCTAACATCACAAGCATAGCATTATCACCATAGGAATGAGCACAAAATATAGTGCTATTATGAGTCACGCAGTGCGGGTTGTTTCTATCACATTAAACATTCTTCATGGGATTTTCAATCACAAATGTTGGTTTACTTCCGGAGGTGACTCCCTTACGGGCTTAAGCCCATCCACTCGATGATTCATTAACGCCCTTTTTAGATAAAGCTTTGATTAAGTTATCTGATAAATTCTTTCCAGATCTTACGAAATTGAGAGAAATCACATTTCTCTTAAGTAAGGCCTTAATTGACTTAAATCTTGCTTGAATATGCCTATTCATCTTCTTATTTGAGTGAGATTGATTTACAAGCTCTATTACTACTTTACAGTCACAATGTATTAAAATAGTTGGAATTGACTTACTTATTAATGGTATATCTAATAATAAACCTCTAAACCACTCAGCATTAGTACATGTTGTATCTAATGCTATTAATTATGACTCTAAAGTACTCCTAGAGATAATCTTTTATCTTTTTGAACCCCAAGATATGGTCGTACCACCTAGCATAAATATATATCAAGTGGTAAACTTAATATCTAAATTATCAGCTATTCAGTTTGCATCGCTATATCCTTCAATAACATTTGGAAAGTTTTTATGGTTTATAGAATAATCTAATGTACCTCGGAGATATTTAAGTACTCTCTTCAGAGCGTTCCAATGTTCTTTATATGGATTGTTAGTATATCTACTAAGTCTCCCAATAGCAAAGGTTATATCATGTCTTGTCCTATTTTCTATGTACAATAAAGATCCAATAATTTGAAAATATTCAAATTGCGAAATTGGTTCACCTAAATTCTTCTTCAAATGTATATTTGAATCATATGAAGTGGAAACTGGTTTATTGTCATAATGTCCAAAATTTTCCAACATTTTTTTAATAGAATTAGACTGATTTAGTGAAATTCCTTCAGATGTTTTTTCCTTAACTTCATTCCCAGAATTACATGAGTTTTTCCCAAATCTTTCATTTCAACATTCTTTGACAAATAACTCTTTACATCACTAACAAATCCTAAATTTGTCCCAAATATTAATATGTCATCTACATATAAATAAAGTATCACATGCTCGTTGTTATCTTCTTTGCAATATACACACTTGTCATGTGTATTAATTTTAAATCCATAATTTAGTATAACTCTATTAAACTTCTCATGCCACTGTTTATTAGCTTGTTTTAATCCATATAAAGACTTCATTAATTTACATACTCTATGTTTCTGTCCTTTGACTTTAAATCCTTCTGGTTGTTACATATATATTTTTTCATTCAAATCACCATTAAAAATGATGTCTTAACGTCCTTTTGATGAATGATCAATATATGAATACTACTTAATGCTGACAATGTTTTAATAGTAGTTATTCCAACAACAGGAGAATATGTATCAAAATAATCAACTCAATCTTTTTGGGTAAATCTTTTAACTACTAACTTCGCTTTATATTTATCCATACTTCTATTAGGTTTCAACTTCTTTTTAAATGCCCATTTACATCGTATTATTTTACTACCTTGAGGTAACATCACATAAAATCCAAGTATTATTTTGTATAATTGACTCGTACTCTTCATTGATAAAGGAAATAGTGGTCAACAGCCGGTTGACCCGGCCATTTTTCCAAAGAGGCCTTTGACCAGTTAAAAAAAAAGCAAAAATATTTAAAACTTTGAAAACCAACAAAAATCAAGAGAAACCCAATTTTACCCTTACCTTTCGAATAAGAAGCAGAAGCCAGTTAAGGAGAGTGGAAAAGTACTGTAGCACTGTCGACCCAATCACTGACAAAAAAGGAAAAACAGGAGACCCAGTTGGTCATTTCTCTCTGAAGAAGGTAAGATTTTTGTACCCAAAAAAAAAATCATGTTTTTATTTTTATTTTTGGAAAAAAGCATGATTTTATATATATGTGTTGAGAAATCCTCGTGTAAATGTGGAATTTGGGTAAGAATATTGTTTGGGAAGGGAAAAATGGAGTGGAGATCGCCGGAAATGAAGTTTTCCGACGATCTCCAGGGCAAAAAACAACAGGGGCTGGCTGGGCACGCCGTCCGGATCGCCCAGACCATCTGGGCGCCAAGTCCCAGTTGATTGGGCACCTGGGCCGCCCGTTATTTTGGGCCGCGAGCCTAAATTTTTTTTAATTTTCGTAACTATTGAAGTTAATTAAATAATTATTAGTTGCTTATATTGTGTTCTCTAATATGTAATTATTTATTCGAATTGCTTAATTTGAATTTGAATGTATATTATGTATTTAAAATTATTTATTGGAAATGTAAGATATAAATGTTTTATTATTTATCAAAATATTTATTAGTTGCTAATTTAGATTAATTAATTATTTTATATTAAGTAATAGTAAAATAATTAAAAGAAATAATATAATATTAAATAAGTAATATATATAAAGAATTTAAATAAATATTTAAACATTTGTAAAATAATAAAAATAAGCAATTAAATTTGAAAATTAAAATAGCAAAAAAATAATTTTTTGCAAAGAAATTAAAATAAATTTGTAAATATGAAATGAGCATTATGCGTAAATAATTAAAATAAGTTTTAAAAATTCATTAAAAATGAAAAAAGTAAATTAAGTGTTAGAAAAATAATTAAAATATTAAAATAAACGATCAAAACAAGTGTTATTAAAATAATTAATTACGTGTTAATTAAGTAATATGCATAAAGAATTTAAATAAATATATAAACATTTGTAAAATAATAAAAATAAATAATTAAATTAGGAAATGAAAATGTTAATCAAATTAATTTTTTACGAAGCAATTAAAATAAATTTGTAAATATGAAATAAGCAATATGCGTAAAGAATTAAAATAAGTGTTTAAACATTAATTAAAAATGAAAAAGTAAATTAAGTGTTAGAAAAATAATTAAAATAAGCAATTAAAATACTAAAAGAAACGATCAAATTAGCAAATTAAGTATATGGAAAATAGTAATTTACGTTCATTTTCTTTATTCCGTTATCGGTTGGTTATTGCATACAGTAGCAGTGTGTTAGTATACTTTTGTAATATTTTTGTTTATCAATTACCTATTAACAAATTTTTTTGTTTATCGAACATCATTTGCACAGGGTTCTAATATTTGAAATTTTGCATGATGAAATATCATCTGGACGACGCTGTCAGACAGATCCCTAGTAAAGTTACGTCAAATTATAACTTTACCAACTTCGCTTTGGTATTAGATTTGCTGGATGACAATCACGCGGACATATTACATCGATCATGTTTATAGCTATTGTATTCGTTGCGTGATGTACAGTGGTCTGGACAGCTGCTCGATGCCCTGCTATGTCGGTTGCTGAAGCCAGTTGACGGAGACGCCCTCCATTTTTATCTTGGGGGCAAGATAGCCACGTTCTCCATATTTGAGTTTGTCATCGTCACTGGACTGCGATGTACGGACAAAGCAAAGGCGAGGACCTGTGTACCGAGGAACAGGAGGCTGTTGAATGAATATTTTTATGGACAGACGACGGTTACTCTAGCGCAGTTGGGAGATGCATTAAGGAGATGTGATTAGATGTCTGATAGGCTGAAGTTGGGCTTAGTGCTTATCATCGAGAGCGTACTCCAGTGTCATCACAAGAAGACATCGATTGACATTTTCCATTTGGAGGTTGTTGATAATATTGATGCCTTCAACAACTACTCATGGGGCCGGAGATATTTTCTTGATACATTACGCGTGTTTAGGAGGGGATTTTCGATGCCAAAGAGGGATAAGCCCAAGCACAAGTACGATGCATATGGACTGTCATTGGCGCTGCAGGTATATGTTTAAGTTAACGAATTACCTACATTTTTTTTTATTGAATTCTATACATAATAATTGTAATTGCTTCAAATATGGGTATACGAGACTGTCCCCATCTTGGCCAGTCGGTATGCGAGGAGAGGAGAGACATGCTGTCCTCGGATGCATCACTGGCGAGTACAAGACAAGCCGCTTGCCAGACAGTTATTGGCTCTCCTCGACAATCCTGAGGTACGTATTATACAATTGCTATTTATGTTGTACGTCCTTTTACAATCTCAATACATAGTTATTAACTGTGACATATCAAAATGACAGCTTGAAGTTCTCACTGAATTGGCACCGTCGATCGAGGAGGAGAGTCAGTTTTATATTTGCGGATTGCCTCTTCGGACTGCGCGACGATCAGATGCCTTAGTCCAGGACGGATCGAGATAGGGTATGTTACTGTGCAGGATTTGTTGAATATCGCTTTGATCTTGTAATTAAGTGCTTCACTTGTAATATTTATTTTTTCAGGAGGATCGTTCAATACTACCTCCATCGAGGATGTCACCTCCACCGAGGAGATCACGTCCAGCAAGGATGTCACCTCCGCTGAGAAAATCACGTCCGGCTACGCCAGAGGTTCAAATGCCTAAGTCCAGTGTTGATCGAAATAGAGTGTGTTACTTAAAAATAATTCTTCCATTGTCATTTTAATTTATTTGTTAGGTTATTCATTTGTAATAGTTATTTTTTCAGGAGGGCCGTCCAGTATCACCTTCTACACCTAGTCCTCGTGCTTCGACGATTGATTTGTTCGAACTCCTGATGGAGATGAGAGGAGACATGGCAAAGTTACGGGATAATGTCGTGACACTACGAGCTGAGTTCGGGGACATGGCACAGTTACGATATGATGTCGTGATGTTACAAGCTGGGTTAGGAGACTTTCATGCTGAGGTTGCAGCGATATGAGATGACATAGTAGGCCTGCGTGGGACGGGCGATTATCGAGATGGAGGAGCTAGCGGAGGGACAGGTCACTATGGGGACGGAGGGACTGACGGCTATCGGGACGGAGGAAGTGACGGAGGGGTCGATGGTTATCAGAGGGGAGGCGGGTCAGATGGGGTATGTTGACTCATTGTGGCCATCAGTTGCTGCATTTCATTCGTTTTTAAATGACACGATCGGGATAGAGGAGCGAGAGAGGATACCTGTGGTGGAGGGAGTGCCCGTGCAGGAGATACCTGAGGATGTGGGGGTACCCGAGGAGGAGAGGGTACCAGAGGTGGAGGTGGTACCCGAGATGACGTCACCCGAGGCAGAGGGGATACCCGAGGAGGTGGGGGTGTCCCTGCAGGGGATACCTGAGGACGTCGAGGGGGTACCGGAGGAGAAGAGGGTTCCGGAGGTGGAGGTGGAGGTGGTACCCGTGCAGGGGATGCCGAGAGGGCACCGGAGGAGCAGAGGGTACCAGAGGTGGAGGTGGTACCCGAGAAGACGATAGTCTCACCGGACGTGGTCTTTATGTCGGAGGAGGTGATCTCGATAGCGAGCGAGGGGGTCGTCCCGATGGCCGGGGAGATGGAGATTCTTGAAACGCATGAGGAGAGGACGATGACTGTTGACGTGCTGGAGCGGGTGGTCGGCAAGAGGTTGAGGGTGTCATCACAGTACGTCGTTTCTCCCTTTACCGCGGAGGCGAAGAGGAGAAGGTTCGTCGACGGGACGCACCCGAATTTATTCAAGGAGGTGGACCACGCCAAGTGAAAAGCATTTGAGACGGAGTAGAGAGCACTGAAGCCTGGGTAAGTTTTGTATTTTATAGAATTAGTATAGTATGCAGACACTGACACATGTATACTTCTTGTAACTAAAAATTCTGTTCTTATTTTTTCAGGGCCAGCCGCACGATTGCTGAGAAGACGATCTCAAATGCTTACAAGTGGTTCCACGATATCACCACTTCGGGGGCTTGGCTCGCCGAAGATGTAACCGAAATGAAAATATTGTTATTTATTATGTATGTTCAAAATCAAATTTTTGAATGAAATTCATAGATTAACTCCTTTCTTTATTGGTGTTTCTTGATGTAGCACATCGACTTGACCATGGATTTGCTACGAGATCGAGCTGAAAGACATCCAAAATCGTTCAACATTCATGGCAGACTCATATTGAACACCGAGTTCATCTGTGTTGTTGAAATTGAGTACCAGTCGTTCCAAACTATGGGTAACGAGTACACGGTGCCGAAATATATGATGGAATGGGTTATAGGGATGTGGCCGAGTGTCGGAGAAAAGCCATGGGAGGGCTGTACGCATATGTACATACCAATATGTGTGAATCATCACTACATTGCAGTGGAAATCGTATTCGCCGACTCCACGATGTATGTGTACGACCCCAATCATTCATGCCTGACACAAGGTCAACTCGAGCAAAATCTAGAGTCGGTGTCTGTGATCGTTCTCATGATGGCTAGACGAGCGAACATCACTGTACAGGACATATTGGCCACCGTGCAGAACACGACGAGGGCGAGACAGCAAATATCGTAAGTGTTTGTAATTTTATTTTTGTCATTTACATCTTAGGTTCTAACTAATTTTTGATGTGCTAATACAACATTGTTTAATTGTAGGGGTGATTGCAGCATGTTCATCATCAAGTACATAGAATTTTTGAGTGTGGCATATAAGGTTGATGCAATCAACCAGGCATGGATACAAAATTGGAGAAATAAATTAGCATGTGATTTATTTGAATTTAATGGGGATCCATAAATAATTGTACATATTTTTACATTTATTTAAATATTCTACAGTTCATTCATTCATTTGTAATTACGAAAGAATTATAAAATGTTAATTATTTATGTAATATTTAAATATTTTTTTACAATTTATGTGTTTATTTATAATATTTGTGTGTATTGTGGTTAACGTAGTGTCTAAAAAAACTTCGATTTCAAATAATTAACATAAATAATATGCATAAATAATGTGTGTAACAAATGAAAGTAATGAATGAAATGTTTAAAAAAAACTAAATCTAATAATCCACATAAATAATATGCATAAATAATTAACGTCAATGTTATAAATAATTACACTGTCAATAGTTATTAAAATTACACATCCGTTACATTGTCATGAAGAGGAATCTGACTTGTACAATATCTTCTAGTGTGCCCTGTTGCACCACACTTACGAGGCTGGGGAAACTCTCCGGTAGATGGTATTCTAGACGTACGTGTACATCCAGGAGTACGTGGTCCAACTGCTGGTCGCAACAAGTTATTAAATGGGAGAATGTGGTCGGGAACTTCCCACTTGACTTCGTTTGGTACAGGAAATATTATTTTCGCATATGCTGCTCTCCAATAATCAGTCATGTAATACACACTGCATAAGGTGTGTGGTGGTAATTCTCTATGCATAGCCACTGTCACTGCATGTGTACACGGAAAATTCTCCAACTGAAACCGTCTACATGTGCATGTGTTATCATTCAACTTCACAATGTATCTAAAATTACGTGCACATCTCACGAAGAAGCGAAACTAATCCGGTGGATCTACATATACCTTTCTCGCCACATCTAGAGTTTTGAAGAGCTTATCTTCTTTAGCCAAGGTTAGCACGCTTGCACAAGTCTGTGATTCCTCACGTCGATCATGAAACACTGTTATAACTTGTCACGAATGTTCTCAATCATTGCGAGAATTGGTAACTCTCGATCTTTCTTGAATAAAGCGTTAAGCGACTCTGCATTGTTCGACGTCATCATGTTGTATCGACGTCATGAAAAATGTGATCGTGCCCAATGTTCAATCCCCATCTCTGTTAGATACTCCCATGCAGCATGCGATTTACTGTCTATTTCAACCATGAACTTATCAAACTCTTCAAAACTGTAAGCCTCTGCAGCTCTCCTAAACAACGCAACGATACCCTTGCTTCGATACTTGGTCTTCAGGTTTCCCTGTATATGGTACATACAATAACCATGATGTGCTTCGGGGAAGACTTTGGCGATACCATTTATTATTGACTGCCCTCGATCGGTTACGAATGCAAGATTTTCGACATCCCCAATTACTTCCCTCAACTTCGTGAAAAACCAACTCATCGCTACATCATTTTCTCCGTCGACTATGCCGAACGCAAGAGGGTAAATTTGGATGTTCACATTTTGGCATATTGCAATAATCAACTTGCCCCGTATTTCGTCTTAAGGGTTGTATCGTCGACTAAGATTAGGGGTCGCATTGCATTTCAAAATCCTCGAACACATTGTCCAAGGGCCATAAAAAATATTTGAACCGATTATCGTCATCCTTCTCAATAAAAAATGCCGACCCAGTATTAATTCTTCCCATATTATAGCAATACCTGATTAATGTAAATAAAAATAATCATAATTTAGATAATCTATTAAATATTAAATGAACAGAAAAATAAACAATTCAATTAAATAATTAATTACATATAAATAAACAATTGAAATAAAATAATTAAAATTTAAAATAACAAAGAAATAAATACTTAAACAATGAAATACCTAGATAATTTAACATAACTCTCCTCAGTCGAATCCATCAAATCCTCCAATGCACATTCTTTAGTTTTCTGATAGCTCATGACCACCCCGTACTCTCGTCATTAATGATGTCCGAAGGTCTGTAGATTGTTCGTGGATCCTGGAACTTGTGCATTATTTTTCGACCAATTAACCATGACCGGGCCTCCCTATGATCATTTCGACGAATACCCACTTCGCAAGTATGTTCCCGTGCATACTTACGGACTACAAAGAACTCATTCGTGTCCATCTTAGTCGCTCACAAACGCCAATGGCAACTGTCGTCAACGCAGATAATTATGTATGTCGACTTGTTTGATTTCTTCACTTTAAACTCGAAGTTATGTTTTAAAGCAATCCGATGCATAGCTTTTTGCAATTCTTTCTTTGATTCGAATAGTTGCTCAACATATACATCTTCATCATCGAGAACTACATGCGAACAGTTAGAGGACCGTGTACTTGGTCTGGCCTGTGAACTCCCACCAGACTCATGTCTCCTACGGGATAAAGCAATCAAATCCTCGTTTGTAAATGCGTTTTCATTCTCATTGTCTTCAACTATCGATGGAATTCTGTGCGTAATAATGTAATCATGGTGAGTAGCAGTGATCTCGGGAATAACCACATCATTTTCACGAACAATCTGAATTGTATCCCAAACACCATTTACATTACGATTCTCTTCATTTAAAACTTCATGTTCACCCTCGTAGACATTTTTTCCCAATAAAGTTACGCAAATAGGAGTCGACTTTCGTCCTTGGTTCAATTTAATTAGATGTTTCATTTCCACTTCAGAAGTAACTTTCATAGGTTGAATTGGAATGGTTGAATGCTTATGAAATAAAAATCCCAATTCCATATCGTACTGAGAGGGATCGACGTTAAGCATGTTTTGTATATCATGGTACATTTCTGCAAACGATGTACTCCTTATTATAAAAATTGTTTTAACCCCATCTCCTTCACTCGTCCATTTCCATTCCCACTGAGCATTTTCATTCATTTGAAATTCACCGAAATAACAAATTGGGACACATGCTGATGCCATATCCGAAGCTCTCGAAATGATCTTCCAGTTCTGGGGAGAATTTGCAAAACTTCGTTTCCATCGAGAATTGAATGAAGTTTTCCCGTATTTCGACTGGAGAATCTAATAGAGACGATAACTGGGCCGGCGGGAAACATCCAGCCCAAATTTTCGGGCCGATCGTTTAATCCTGAAATTTACGCTCGAATTTTTTATTTTTTCCCTTTTTCAATGAAATATGTTTAAATATTTATTTTACAGACACCTATAAATTTTCCTGTAAAATATATGCATACAAAGATGAATTTTTTTTTTTTGTTTTTGCTATAAAAAAAACTATACATCTGTGTTTAAATACAGTAAAATTCATCTGCCTATGTCAAAAAAAAGATTTAAAGATTCAAATAGTAAATTTAACTAAAACAAAATTAAAAATACGTATTTACACTTACCAATTTTCAGTGCCGAATGTGAGTATTGTTTCTTTGTTGAACCTTTGATAATTCTGGGAGATTTCAATATTCTAGCTGATGGAAGGAAATTTTTCTTTTTTACTGTATTGGAGAAACTGATAAGCAAAATTGATTTTGAAATTTACGTATGGAAGTGACTGAATTTATTTAAACTTTTAAGGGTATTATTATTTTTCAAAGAATTGATACATTTTTGTAAGTGTGAAACATAAATAAGGGTATAATTGTCTTTTTATTGACAAGAGGCCAATGTGGTTAATACAAAAATAAAAATAAAAATGGTCAAACTGCAAAATTGATTGTTTGACTAAGCCAATTTAAAAAGTACCCCTCATTGATAGATTCCTTTCAATAAGGTGCATCAGTAGAGACCATAGCATCTTTATATGTTTTAGGTTCACCTTCAACAAGATATGTAAAGAATTCTTCTCCAAATGATTTCTCTTTCCTAATTCTTTTACTCCTCCTAAGTTGATGTACAATTTTACCTTCTAAAGATGAACTAGATGGAGTACTATTTAAAAATACCTTCTTAGAAGTCAAGGGTTCACTTGTGATTGTACGTAGGGAAGAACATGTGGAGTAACTCGGGATCAACAATTCTATAATTTCTATTTATAAAGAAATGTGGTGTGATTATAACCACCCTTTTTTATTACAATATTTCGGCTTCATAAAATCATATTTATGAAATTAAAGACAAAATTGGACATTTACTTTAACGCGTTTCGCGCTATTACCCTTAATGTGGTTAATTTTATCTAATCATTATTATTATTGGTATCTAGAAAATATTTAAATACGTGATCAGGACAACCCCCACAACTCACCAACTAAAAGGGACCCACATAAAGCTAGTATTTATGTATGTTAAAAGTTTTTTTTTTAGTCAAAAATGATCGTGTTTTCAAATTGGGTAATTTAAAATCCCTAACTTGTTTGTTGCGGATTAAAATCTTAATTTTAATTTAAATTAAAATTAATAATTAATTTTATGGAATCCAAAACATTTCAACATATATTTAATAAACTATTATCAAAATTTATTAAAAGTTCGATTATAATTCCCATCAAACAGGATAAAGGTTATTGAGCTATAACAGTTTCGAATTTAGAAGAATATTTTCGTTTTATATTCTCTCATGTAAGGGTGGAACTAGAAGAATAGAGTTATGGAGACAAAATTCACAAAATCTTAATTGCGGGGTAATTTTATTTATTTATTTATTTATTTTTGGGAAATCTTGAAAAATCCATTGCAAAATATTGGATTTCAAATTTAGTGCGAGGGCCACTGCCCACTATAGATATTCCCATTCTTTTGTGACAAATAATTAATTGGATTTATCATGTTGTATCAATCAAGTCTATATTGAACTCTATTAGCTCAAAAACAAAACCAATAACATTATAGCAGCGTTTGGCATTTATTAAATTAAATTTTATTTTTCTCTCTTCCATTTCAAAGCATACAATCTCTTATAAAATAATATTACACGTAAGCTGAAACTTTTCATTTTTTATCAACCACACATTCTTTAAAAATAAATATTATTTTATCCATTAAAATTAGAAATAATGGAGTCCAAACGTAGGCTACGCAAGTCTAATCATCTCCATTTATACAAAATATATTTTATGTAATGTATATATTTATAGATTATTTTATAGAGATAGCTAAGACATTTGAACAAATTGATCTAATACTGACAAGCTAGAGTTCAATGACTGAATTGAAATTGAGACAGAAGTTTCAACTAATTCATGAGCAATTTGGTGACTTCAAATTCCGTGCTAGATATATTTTCGCAGAAAGTGACTTCGCACTCATGTTTATAAATTGAAAAATACTTTTTGTACATAATTATTCACATAATGTTTTACAGAATGACGATGTGTCAAAATTTAAGTGAGAAAGTTATTTGATTCATGAGATTTTGTTCCAATTAAATTTCGCCACATCATTTGTTGCCTTTCATAAAATAGTTAGAGAATGAAATTCTTCAATTCCTAAAAAGCATAAACTCTATCAATCTTTGTACATCTAAAAATATTCTATTCAATCCTCATGTAACATCTCACTAACAAGACGAAATGAGTTTTAATCAAACTATGATAACAGAATGTGACTCTAACTTTACCAATCGCTATGTACCAATATAAAAATCAAACAAGTAAAGGTAAATAAAAATGAAGAAGATGTATTTGTTCTACTAACATCTTTTAGCAACTAATTTTGAAAATAATTTATTAATAAGTTTCATGGTAAATATGAATGTAATTTAATATTTAATATTATTAATTCTTGTTTAAACTTATATATTAACTTGTTTTAAATATATTACTATAACATCAATAGGTAAGCGTGGATTAAAATCGAACCACACCGCAAATTATGGTTTAGTTTGATTTAGTTCAAAAAATAAAATAATTTATTTTGATTTGAAAAAGTTCCAAACCGAATGAAATGATTTGAATTGAAAATATAACACAAACTGTGCAAATCAAATTGGTTCACTCCTCGTTTACCTCTTAGAAATGAAAACATTGAAGGTTAAATTCGTCCATTTACATAATACGAGAGCCCACATACAAGAACAATGAGATGATGGGGAGGCATTCCGCAAAGTGGCATTTTCGTCGCGCAAAACGCCAGTTGATTCAATAATTTGAGATTGTTCGATCGAACAACGAACACGTCCACCTCGCCAGCGAGTTTCCCGGTAACCTTACAATCATTCGGAGGCATACGTCCCCGATCTTGGATCAACCGTTACAATTTTAATTTTTCTCGATCCAATACCTAAATCAGATTCTCATGAATTCTTATCTTTTCTGGGATTTAATTGATTGAATAAGAGTTAATATTAGCTAGTTTCTAGAAACTTGTGTTAAGTTTGATGGATAACAATTTGAATTATGGTGGATCGTAGGTGATTTGTGAGATTTTCGATTGCGTAAAATGAGTCAAGTATTCGAAGGTTACGAACGCCAATACTGTGAGCTGTCTGCTAATTTATCAAAGAAGATCACATCAGCTACTCTCCTTGATGGAGGTGAGAAAAAGGTGTTATTGGTTACATATAATTGTTGTACCATTATCCATTTTATGTTATTTTGGTTTTTCGTTATACAATAATAGGATGTTGTACGAGAGTTTCATAGCATGCTTTCATTTGTAATGGAGGCAATCATGAACCATTTTGTTTTTTGAGATGCACGAGAGATGCAAGAAGAATCATGTTGAGCTTCCTGCAATGTAGGAAACAAAATTTAATTTACAATCAGAAATAGTATTTCGGGCACATTGATCTACATGCGTGCGCGTTCCCTATTCTTTGCGTTTTATCTTCTAAGGATTTTGATGGAAAAGGAAATGTTTCATAAAATTGACACAACATATATGATGTATATATATCCATGATCTATTGTGTGAATGTACAAGGATAAGGATTTCTGGGGAGTCTACTTATTCAAAAATATCTTTCTTCCACAAAAGATATAAGATATATCACCTTATAAATTAAAATGTGATGTGTCTTGGAAGTTGCTCAAACAAAATGTTGCTTAAATGGTTTTGATATGGTCTTGGCAATCATCAGAAGTGCACACGGGGTAGTGGGATATCTGACTTCGTGTGATGCCACTCTATTTGAGCTCTGACTTCGTGTGATGCTACTCTATTTGAGCTCTTTTTGATTTTCTTCTTACTTATTACTCTGACAGCTCATTTTGCATGAACAATCCATCATCTTATTTTTCCAGGCCCTCATTGTTATATACTCAGCCATACTCCTATATTTGGAACTAAGCGTCCCTGATGCAAGGAAATGATTTCACGTGGCTATTTCCCCTTCTTGGTGCATGTTTTTTGAAGTTTAATCTGGTAGCTAGAAAACATTAGTTGCTTTACTGAGTCCTGGTTTCTTGCTGGGCTGGATAAACTTTCATGCTGATAGCAACCCAAAATGAGGACTTGGTTTTGTATTAGCATAAGTTACCTAAAAAAATTTATGTTATAAGCGTTCTGCTCAAATATATTAAGAACTCTATGAAGATCTATATCCTCCACCGTGATTTTAATATCTCCTTGTTCTTCTGCTTTAGCGTTCTATAATCTATGTACTGTTTTTCCTGATTTATTTTTTACATTAGTGTAACATTGATTTATAAAAATTTATTATATGGCTTCCATGCTTCAGTGGTCTATATGTTCAGTTTACAGCCACTTTTTGAACAGCCAAGCGTGGCATACAGGGATTATTCCATTTTTATACTACAAGAAATTATTAAAAGGGAGTTAATCCTCTGTGAACTTTTAGTGAACTGAAGTAATAAACAGTCTTATATTGTAGGGAGTATTCCACCTTGATATTTTCCTGATGAAATGACGTTATAATTTATGCCAAGAACTCGGTGAGGATCAATGAGAGGATGTTTATTTTCTAATTTGAATAATCACAGTTTAAAGCGTTTAGATTCTTGAAAATGCAACAGATAGAATCTGCTCAGGCAAATGTGTTTTCACATTTCAGTTCTTGATCTGAGCTCCTCGTGCATAATTCATGTTCATTTTTTACTGATTATGATTGGTGATCCTGTCTTCGTCAATTACAGAACACAAGAAACAAAAAGTCTCTGACATAAAAGGCGGATTGGAGGATGCTGAAGCACTGGTAAATTATTAATGAGCACATTCAAATTTCTATGCATTTATACAACTTTTTAGACTAACAAACTGCTTTGGCTAAATTTTGAAGATTCGTAAAATGGACCTTGAGGCTAGGAGCTTGCCTCCCAGTGTGAAGGCTACCCTTCTTGTCAAGTTGAGAGAATATAAAACTGATCTGAACAATTTGAAAACTGAAGTGAAGAGAATCACATCTTCTAATGCCAACCATGCTGCAAGGGATGATTTGTTGGAATCGGGAATGGCAGATACGCAGATGGTACTTATGTCCTTCATTTCCCCATTCTATGGTGATTAATGGATTAAACGATTTTATTTTACTTTTATTGACGAGTTGGCTAAAATTAGGACTTTTAAATAACTTGATGTGCTTTTGGTTTCTTTTGAAGTGCTTTTCTGTTTTGTCCTTGCTTCACACAACACTGGAGGCCACCACTACCTGGCTTTGTGCATCTCCCTTTTATTCTATTTGGAAGGATGTAACTAGTGCTGCGTATTCACTAGATTGCTTAATACACCTGTACCTGCATGTATAGACTAATGGAAGTGGGCTTAATCATATTTACACTCACATAGTTTTCTTGAGTTCATATACTCCAGGTATATGATCAAAGATGTATTTAGATACCTAGAACTTCTTCTTCTCTTTCTCTTCATTTGTCTTTTTTGTCCTTGTTTAATTTTCCAGAGGTTTAAAGCTCTGCCCAGACTTCAAAATATTATCCTTTGACCCTTACCTTCTCCATAAATGCCAACAATGTTTCCTTGGACTTAAAACTGCATACAAGGCTCCAAAAGATCATTAATAATCTTCTCGGTTCTGTTTCACAGCACACAGTGAACCCCATAAATTAGTATTTCTTTTGCGTACAGCCTGCAACCCTTGTACACATCCACTGACCATCTTGAATTTTCCCTCTCTATGACATTGAAATGCACAGATATGTATACAAATTGTTTCTGCTCCATTGACTAGAACTTTTTTTTGATAAGTAACTCCATTGACTAGAACTGATGGACACTTTATGCTAGTATGCCTACTACATTTTCTCTCTCGATATCATTTAGATTAGACATGCTTAAATATAGAGGATCATCTGGCTAGAAAGCGAGAGTACAGTAATGAAAATATTTGTCTGATGTCGATGTTATACTTATTTGGCAGCAGAATATTGCTTCTAATTGTAGTTTTGGCTTCAGCTACTAGCGATATATGAAGAGATGGCTTGTTTTAGATTTCTTTTTAAGTAGCCTTGGTGGTGGGCAAACTGTGTCTGAGCTTTTTTATCTTGCCAATTATTTCTGTGTTTCTCTTATAGGAGCTTCTTGCGATTTTGGGTGCTTGCTTTCTTTGTCTTTCCAAACCATGGATCTGTCACTTTGTCAGATACTGACCCTTGACATTTATGTAGTGGATGACAAACTTTTGCTCCAGATGTACTTACCTATATACTGGTGCTATTATACAGGCATCTGCTGATCAAAGAGGAAGGTTACTCATGTCAACTGAGAGATTAAATCAATCTAGTGACAAGATCAGGGAAAGTCGAAGAACGATGCTGGAAACTGAAGAGCTTGGAGTTTCAATTCTTCAAGATTTGAGCCAGCAACGTCAATCTCTTCTACATGCACATAATTCAGTACGTCTTATTTTCTGAGTTAATGTTTTTCATGCCTCTTGGTTCTATTTTGCTGAAAGTATCAGACGAATGTTTTGTGCTCTAAGAGGCAAATATCCTAAATTGAACAGAGGCTCTTAGGCTGTTCGTTGTAAAGATCAGATGATCATATAATTTCCCTTTATGCAGCTTCATGGAGTGGATGACAACATCAGCAAGAGCAAGAAAATTCTTACTAATATGTCCAGAAGGATGAGCAGGAACAAATGGATCATTGGTTCTATCATTGCAGTCTTAGTCATAGCAATTATTTTGATTCTTTACTTCAAGCTTACCCATTAACTTGTTGGCCTGAATATTTGGGATCCTGCGCATTGCATTTTTTGTGAGGATAAGTGTGAATGTTTTCAGGTAATTTGGTCTATGTACTACTTGTGCTCAAGTTCCTGACCTTGTGCACGGGCTTCTTCATTTGTGTTCCTCAATTTCTTGTACTGGTTGGTAATGCTACATTTTCCATTGTGTTTGTGTGTATCACGTTTCACTTTAAATGTTACATGGTTGTCGATTTGGCATTCTTGTCTAAGACTTTCTTTCTAAATGTTTTGTCGAGCGTGACAGTAATCGGTCATATACCTATGAATTACATATATTCTAACAGCATAGAATAAGTTCACTCTTATCATTCTGGGATAAGTTCACCCTCGGGTGAAGAATTCATCTTGGCTATTCAACCTTCCTCTCTTTGTCTTCTGAAGCTAGTCGTCGATTCATTACTCTGGATAATAAAGTCCGTGCATGAAAACCAGTATCGTCATTAGGATACTCATTTCTTAGAAGCATCTGCACCCAAGTGAACTCTTTTGAGTACCTCGGTTGTGAGATTTCTAGCGATATAATTGCTGCTAGGAAGGTCACGTTCTTGTGAATGAATTTCCAGGGATGCGCTGTTTGATGTATGTGAAAAAGCTTTGCTCAAGATAGTACCATTCGCCCTCTCTGTTTACGAGTCTACAAGTTTTAACATCTCATTGACAATCAATGGCTCGACAAGATAGTCAGCTGCTCCTAATCTCAGGCACTTAACAACAATCGAGACCTGACCTTGAGCCAACATCACTATTAAAAAGAATGACGACCAAACTAAAACTCGAGCATCTAAAATCAGCAGAACTGGTGCTCACTGATCACAGGAATGTGTTGCAAGTCTTTATCCCTCGCGATGTATTTTAACATCTATCCTTCAGACATACGAAGGTCGACTCCAGAAAGAATATCATCTATATCGGGCTGCATTCAGGCATCAATAACCTGTCTATGCGACCTGCCGAAGTCACTGCAGAGCAAGATTCATCCACAGTAAGCATCAGTATAAGAACATCAACTTCTGAAACAAATGGCTGAATTGATACAGGAACAAATCGCATGATAAATTATAGTTTGATAACACTCTTGATGCACTTTACATGGTCATTGTATATCAGGAGTTGATAGTATTGCTGAAGTTCATATAAGTTACAGAAAAGTAGAAAATTTGTATGATCTTCCAAAATTTGGTCTACCAGCTATTCAAGGCTTGTTCACCAGGACTTTTGATACTATTTTACGTAGAAAGGCTTTCCAATGAAGTGATCTTAAATCAACTTTCTATAAAAGCTCTTCTAACCATTAGTACTTTAGAGCACGTGTGATTTGACATGTAGACGAACAAGATTTTTAACCTTTTTTCTAGATTATAATGTATAGTACTATTCACCAAATATGCATTATGGCAAACAGAACAAACGGCAAAGTTAAAGATGATATAACGATCCATCGGCAATTCAACAAATCCCCGACGCTTCTTCAGCTATATATTCCAAGCCCCCAAGAGCGTAAACATCGTTCTATTGAGAAGCACCTAGTTCTTTTACATGAGATAAAAATCTTTATTACCCAAATGAACAATAAACAAAATGAAATCATTCCTCGTGCTACATTGGGAACTTGCCAAGTCCGTCCATAAACCATCCAATGGTAGAGGTAAAATTTATTCCTGAAAATCTTTAGGTAAGCTGTAAGAGTCAACGAACACGACCAAGACTTAAACCAGCATATTGCCTTCTGAAGAAATGCAAGAGGATAGATGACAGCAGCAGTAACAATCTTAAGTCTCAATCGAAATTAGATATTTTTATACACCTGAAGTTTCCTCTGCATTTTTTATAAAGCCACTCTGAAGCTCAACGAAGAAGAAAAGCATCAACTCCCTGTCAAAGACAATATATTCTTTTAGAAGTAACTCATAACAAGTAACTTCTTTTTATTACTAATAAGTGTAACTAATCTAAACATCTGAAACATGTCCTAAATGCAGAGCAAATAAGATCTTGAGCAACTGAACAAACACTTGCTCAGTTATCCACATTGCTCTCTGTAACAACACTATCCAGGAACATTCAGGTCATAACAGTACAATTAATTCTCCTTGAAATCGGCCTGGGCATTTTAAATGGAATCGAACTTCCCGAACCAAAACTGAAGGTTCTGGTCCGGTTCCAAAAATAAATAAATAGGAACTGGAACCGGAACTGACCGTTTCTTGGTTTCAAAACCAGAACTGTGGATATACCTAAATGGAACAAATTTTTTATATAATTTTTTATTTATAATTTATAGTCTGGGTAAAAAAATACAAAGCCTAAAAACCCTAATTTGGGGAGTAATTTGTCTAAAACACTAGACAACCCTAAGAAATCAAGAGTGGTTCTTACTTTTATGCCCTGCCTCACATCATATTGTTGCATTCCAGAGGTTAGTAAATGTTAATCTTTACAATTTGGGCTTTCTATGAATCAAAAAGTTCAAGCTAGATTGTGTTATAAGTTGATGAATCAATGCATTCATTCTTTGCAATTCGAGCTCTTTTACTTTCTTGCATTGTCTACTAACTCAAGTGAATTTTCTAATTTTTTTATAATGCATGACAATTGAACTTGATATATTCATAGCTTAGGTTGTTGTATACATTTTTGGTTATCTTCAATTCATGATTCTCTTTTGAAATATAATTTTTCCTTTTTTATTCAAACAAAGCGAGTTCAATATGTGGACTATAATTTCTTGATACGATATAATTATGTACTTCATAAGTAATTTTTATATCAGTTCGTTTTAAGGGTAGAATTTAAGCATTCTTCATAATTGAATTATAGGACCTAGCATGGCTCATTTATGAATTGAATAAAAATAAGGCCTGTTTGATAGAATTTATTTGGGAATAATGAGTAATTGAACAGTATTTTTTTGGAGAATGTATGGTTAAAATATAAGGAAACTTTATTGGTTTGTGTGTAGAATATTTTATTGTGTAAATATGTAGTAAAAAATGATACCGCAACAAGCAATTTAAATTTTTAAAGGATGACAAACAGAGACTTAATTAAGAAAAAATAATTCTTTCTCAAGCAGTAATTAATTTTTAATACTTCAATTTTCTCCTCTTTTGTGGTCTTTAGTCCCCACTATTTTAATTGAAGATTTTCTATCTAGATTTTCTCCCTAACACAAATATTGTCAAGTACTAATATGTTAGGTATACGTATTGAAAGGGCTTATATGAAAATGTTTATTAAATGCATACAGAAAAATGTTATGGTTAGAACCGAAATTGAATCAGAACAAATGGTTCGGCTTTGGGTTTGGTTCCAGTTACAAGGACAAGAATGGTTCCATTTATGAAATATCCAAAGTATAATGGGTGGTTCCGGATATTGAAGTACCCGAACTGAATCACCCGACACCCAAGCCTACATTGAAATGATATTTGCAACAGAAATAGATATACAACGATGCAGGTCAGATGCAATAATGAGAAAACAAATTATAGACAAGTAAGCCTGGCCTGATTTATTCAATAAGTGCTTAAAAGAACAATAAAAGTGATTTGTTATGATAGATGGATAAATACGAAGCTATTTATTGATCAACTAGCGCTTTTTTTTTTTTCCCCCCTACCTCCCACAAAAAAGTGTGAAAAACAAAATATGTTATTGCAGCACAACCAACACGTTTGCATATGGCAGCTTTGGCAAGAGTTTTAGTAGCAACACAATAACTCAATTAGCCAATTTTTATTGTATATGAGCATAAATCTATAGTACGATCATTTAATAAAATGAATTTGCTAAATAAAAAAATATTAAAACAATGAGATATATGACACATTAATATCTGCAATAATCCATATATACGTCTTGTTACAACTGACCATGACGGAAAGACCCATTTCTTCTTTATTTTTGTTTTTCGTCCCTGTAACTTTACTTCTATCATTTTAATCCCTTCATTTAACTTTCCCATTTTATACTTCCCCCAGGACGGGAGAAATTAGGACAAACAGTTAAATTACAGCTAATTTGTCATCAAACAGTTAGATGAACATGGCAGTCGTTCATTATGCACTCTAATCTTATGACAATATAGTAAATGAGAATGCCAAATCTATTCGATGTTCACCTGTATATCATAGCTCTACAACCAAGTTTATTGTAGCTTGCATGAAGGTAAGGTTTTATCTTACTAAGAAGACATTAATCGCGAGTAAGAGAATTGGTTAAAAAGTGCAAAATGATGAAAACCGTAACTAATAAGCAAAGAGAACTGGGAAAAGAAGGAACATCAGGCTTATCACAAAGTATAAACAGGTTCAGAAGACAAAAATGAAAAACTGGAAAGTGCAAATCGGCAGCATTATTTATCATATTCAGTAAAATTAGAATTTTCAGCAAATAATGGCAATAATGGCAAAACAATAAACCCTAAAGGAGGGATTAAGATTTTTAAACGATTTCCACCAATTAATCCGTATTTATTAGCAAAATATACCAGATAACAGGCTACGGTAAATTTAATTGTAGATATGAAAATGAGCTAAGGACTAAAAAAAAAATTGAAGATAGGATGTATGTTAAGCTCAATACATTTTCTTTTTCTATAATTATGAAGAAAACTACCTTCTAGACATAACAAGACACGTTACATACATACTTGCCAATATTGTGAAACGACCAACATGAATGTGGCCCAACGTTATTTGGTACCATCCAAATCAGTCAATGTTAACTTCTTAGAACTTGCCAACCACCAATTAAATGAGAACCCCAAGAAAGTAAAAGTACAAGAAGCTGCTAATTGAGATGCATGTAAATGAAGATAATACCCAGGTACGGAAATTGGGAAAAAAGAAGAAAGAAAACACCAACACTGGAAAGCAAAACAAACGGTTAACTTCTTAGAACTTGCCAACCACCAATTAAATGAGAACCCCAAGAAAGTAAAAGTACAAGAAGCTGCTAATTGAGATGCATGTAAATGAAGATAATACCCAGGTACGGAAATTGGGAAAAAAGAAGAAAGAAAACACCAACACTGGAAAGCAAAACAAACGACTTGTATGTGAGTAATAAACAAAATACACATGTTTCACTTCAAGAACATGTCAAGGTTTCCAAGGAAGAATCACAAAGTCCAATTATAGACATCCAAAATGAACGCAAAAATTCAACAAAAGATAAAAGACCTATAACGAGTAAAAATTAGAAACATGTTTGTGCTATAATATTGCTCGTGAATAACAAAAGAAATGACTCAATACAGAAACATGCAAACTTTCCCACACCATAAAGAGATAGACTGTGCTAACTCCATCTATCACATATCTGGAATTTAAATTGTAATATCTTCATATACTTAACAGCCAATTTTCCCCATCAAAACTTTTTCTAGTAATGCTTCAAAATCACGCACAAGTATAGGCGATCAAACTACAAAGCACAAAAAATCTAAAAAAAAATCGTAAGAAGATGGAACTAACATGTGTAGATGTTAAACCTTGCACACTCCTATAAACAGCTTTGTATGCTTAGTAAGAAATGGATGGATCATTTAATTTAGCAAGTTAGCTGAATTAACATATTATTAGTTTAAACTAAAAACCATAAGACTAAGAATAACAGAAATATTGCACAACTTAGAAGTATCTAAGGGGTTTTTGTTGTCTTCTTAAAGAAAATTTGCAAGAAGATACTACTACTATCTTGTGGATTTTCATATAACCAGGATCAGTTTCTTTTAATTTCTCTTTTTTCAGAATTCATAGAACATGGATACTGATTATTAAAACTAAAGAACATTCTTTATGAGAACCAATTGATAAAAACATTAACCATAAAATGAAACAAATAATAAAATCTGAAATAGGATTCAATTTCTAAAACACAGAAAGCAAAACTACACACCAAAAAACAAGTACTAATTCATCGCAATTCATACCTCTTCAAAATTTGATTGCAACACAATAAAATGACAAAGAGATCAATAAGATCGTCTCATCATTCGCTTTGGCTTCTTCACAAAACTTAACCTTAACTTTTTAAGAGTTCTTCTCTTCCTGGCCATCTTCTCGGGTAGTGTCTCCCTTTTCTTCTCCTTCTTCACTGCAGTAGGCTTCTTCTTCACAAACCTAGGATCCACCTTATATTCCTTTGGCTCGACAGCTACCCCACGACTCTCGGCCTCTTTATAAAGTGCATTAGCTTTATCTACACGTCCATATGCACACAACTTTCCCATTAACAAGTCATAGGTCTTAATCCCCGGTTTGCACCCATCCTCTTTCATTTTTGCAAAAACACTTATAGCATGATCAATCCTCTCGATCCCGCACAATATCTTCAAAAACTCATAATATGCCTTCTTATCCAATGCATCCCCATATCCTGCAGATTTCATTCTATCGATCATCTCATCACCTTCACCCACCCTAGCTGCCTGATATAAACTCTTCGTGAGCACAAGAAATGTAGTTTCATTTGGGTAACACCCCCATTCCCCTATCCTATGGAACAGTTTCATTGCATCCTCAGTTTTCCTGATCTTACATAAATTGGTAATCAACACATTGAATGTCTCCACATTGCGAGGAACACCATGTCTTTCCATCTCGATCAACACATTCTCCACTTCGGATTGAAGCCTAAACGGATCCTTCTTCCTACACAAATGACAAACGCAAGCTAAAATTGCATTGTAAGCAAGTGTACCTATCTCGAACCCTCCCCGATACATCTCACCGGCCAATCTTTTTGCTTCATCCAATTTTTCATCAACACACCAGCCCTTAATCAGAACATCACAAATATACTCATCCGGGAAGAACTCACTTGACAGACTCTTCACCATTTTTTCAGCATAGCTCGCATATCCATGCTCACAAAGACTCGAAACAATCAACTTCAAAGAATCCATATTTCTCAAAAACCCATAATCCTTCTCCATACGCTCAAACAATGCCACCACTTGTGCAGGTCTACCAGCCCGAACAAGCCTGTCTACGAGGGCCTCCAGACATTTCGACCCAGCTATTCCATGGCCGTCGACCAGCACTTCATGGGTAGCCTTAAAATCCTTCCTTCTTCCGAAGAAATCAACAAAATAAGAGTAAACCTCATCAGTGGGCTTGAAGTCAGTCCTTGAATTTGCCCATTTGAGGAAATCAATGACGCCACGACCAGCATCAGGGGAGATATTGAGAGTATTGAGGATCACAGAAGGGGTGAGAATAATGTGAGAGAATGAAAGGTCCAGTCTTTGTGGCAAAGGAAGAGGTTCTGAATCTGGGTCTTTCAGAAGCTCGCTAGAAAGGCTTTCTGCTACAAGATTTTCTTCTGGGTTTTCTTCGACGGGCTTTGTTCCATTGGCAGTGGGGCCAGTTTGCACAGAAAAGGATCGGAGAAAAAGGGGTTGTAGGGAGAGCAAATGCGCATTAGTAGTGGATGAGAACGACTGAAAAAAAGGTTGTTGCAGCTGCTGTGGCGGCGGCGGAAAGTTAGATCGATAAGGAAGTAGAGAATTGGAGTGAGTGGAGAAGCAACGGAGGAGGAGTTTACGCAGGTGAACTGAATGTAGTGGATTGGTGGGTTTAGGCATTTTTAGTGCGCGTACTGCGTGTTTTAGAGAGGGGAAGGGCTAGACAGAAATGAGAAATAGAGAAGAAGGGTTTTGGGGGATGGCGGGTTTCGGGTTGAAGTGGCGTAGGAAGACCAGATGTATGTGACAAATTCCATAATGTGAAATAGCGTAAATTATACTTCCTCTCCAGTATTAATCATATAATTATTTTTTAGCTTTATTCAATCAAGTAACTATATTTTAATTTATTTCAATCAAGTAGTTACATTTTAACCTAATTCACTTATGGACCTTGCTACATGTACATCAAAGTGCATATAAGGGATTACATGTCTGCGTTTTATTCTACCACTTGCCAGTTTAAAATACAACCAACTTTTTCCATCAAATCTTTTCTCTCCGTATCATTTCCGATAACCACTTATGTACTATTTTTATGTACAAATAAAAAGTCCTTAAATTAATGTAACTTCATCAAATTTCACTAATTGAAATAAATGACTTGACATTCAATAAACAATGATCATATTAAGTGTACCCTCTAAAAAGATGCATCTAATCATAATGATTTATGAGTACATGTTTTAGCACAAAAACAACGAGTACCGTGTTTGAGCACAAAAACAACAATTAGTACAACCTTATATAGCTCATATTATCCTACTAAATTAGTCAAAAGGAGCTGAACTGAGCAAGTTTCCATTCAAAATGAATGCCACAAAATGTCATTACGCGGGAGTAGCTAAACATCTAGAGATGAGGAAGGGCATTAGTGATTGCGTGAGCAACTCCCCAATCTATATGGATTTCTATGATTAATTCATAGAAGATGATGATTTAAAGTGCCATGTCTGATTATTGACGATTCTTAAATCTTGAAGTAGGCATCACAAAGCAGAATTCTCATTTTGCTGCAATGAATTACACTCTTTTTGCACCACATATGGTTCCACTAAAATATCTTGTTTGTTCTTGAGAAATATAATATCCCTGATATTTCTAGTTCACATAGGGCAGTTGATAAAGAGTTGGGCCAAATTCTAAGGGTTGGCCTAATTGTTAGGTCTATAAGACACAGAGGATTGCCAAAAGCAGATCACTAATGTATATACAAGTTTAATACAAGCTGAAGTTTAAGCTATAAATCAATTTCACTTTGCAAAGACATCTTAAAATAATAAAAGAGCAACAAGATTCACCTTCACATAGAAGAATTACAAACCAGTTTCTAAATAAAAATAGAACGGTTAACTCAATCAGCTTTAACATTCATCTCTGTGTATCCATCAGTTAGTACAGATAATCAGCTTTTTTGCCACTGCTCTGATGCCGGCATTCTGCTGGTAATCATAGGTGTCCAAGGAGAAGTACGCATCCACAAGATTTCCCGGATTGAACAGGGACTCCAGCTCTACAATGTCGAATCTACTGAACACTAGCCTTTGTGTGGCTGAAGAATCTTTCTTGTATATCTCTGTTATGCAATGGACGCCGTCACCATCTGCTACAGTCGGTAAACTGTGCATTTACATACATTAAAATTATGAGTCTTTAATACAACAGTGTATTTTCACAGTTCACAGCACTCAGATATAGCCAATGAAATATAAATAAAAGGAACGGCGTTTAATGAAAAGCAACTACCGTCCTGGTTTTTGTAAGGTGAGCAATGATTAATTTATGTACTATACAATTGCACGGAATTATAAAATGGATTTGCAGAGAAGGCAAGAAAATTAATGTTCAAAGTGATTGAAAGGAAAGATTATAATGTCAATTAAGCAAAGAGAAACTCACTGCAACCGGACAGTGGGATAGTTATAGAAACCAGGCTTCCTGATCACGACAGATCTCCATTCTGAGTAGCTACCGGAGTCCATGGATAACTTCTTAGCAAGATCATCGCTTGCATCAAGAACCTGGCATAGGCTTGGTGGAGCATTCACCACAAAGCTCAATCGCGGCCTACCAGTATGATCAACGAACTTCGTACTAATTCCAAAGCGCACCTTCAGATGTCTACACAAAACTTGTAATGGGAAATTTTTATGCAACACTTGTATTTTTTGACTTCCACGGTAAAATGGTACAAAGGTTACAGAGAGAGAAGGTATTGAAATATTATCGGCCTCCAAGAAGTCAGTACAGCCATTGGAATCCCCAGAAGCAGATGCAGTAGAAGACTCTTGAGTTGATAGGCTTTTCTCATCTTCCATATTTTCCTTAGGAAGAGGGTATTTCACCATTTCATCACTGAGTACCACCATGTTAAAAGGGTCTGATCTTGCAGGAATGGATTCAATTAGATCCCCAGTTACATCATCTGTGTTAGGCATAACAAGTGATAGAATTGGGTGAACTTCCTCCATGTCATCACTTGTTGGAGATGTTGAATGGATTTCTGCCTTGACACTTGATGATGGTGTATTTACATTCTGGCTTGCCTGCTCTACAGAAGTTTTCCCATTACTTCGACTTCTAGTTGTGACATTAGGAGAAACCCAACTGTTCTCTGTAAATATGTCTGGGAGGCTGGATTCCTGCCAGCAAGATAAGAAAAATAAATTACTGCCACACAGGCCAATATTTACAATAGAGATTAAATATCCTTGATAAATATTGATGTCAGTTGCAGCTGTATAGGAGCAAGATGAGAGTTAAACTAGATGAAGTCCAACAATCACAATTGTCATATGGTTCACCAACTCTTGTTGCTAGATTTCTGTTTCTGGACTTAGAGCCATCAATGATTACATGTTGATGAACAGCGATAAACTTAAGTTCACCTTATTTCATAAAACTTAAGTTTTATCAACTTTTCAACTAGCCAAACTTTAATTCTAACCACATATGTTATGATGCCACAACTTTTATCAACTTTTATCAAAATCCGCTGAAACTTTTATCAAAAACTTTGTCACACAAGCCCATTATAATCCATCTTCACAAGATACAAGAAATAGAAGCTACTATATAAGTACATTCTGCATTCATAAATTGAGAGAGGAATATAGATGAGTCTGGATGGAACTGATGAAACTTCAATTTTCTTCCTTTTTTACGTGCTTTAGAGACCTATTGATTATTCGAAATGATGTCATATTATAGTATTTAACATCATTTTTAATCATGATCTTCGGTGCTTTTGTTTGGTGTACTGAACCACTTATTTTCTTTAAATAGTTTTCTCTTGATTTTATGTAGCATCTCTTTGCATTCTTATCTGTATATTTTACAGAATTAGGATACAGAACAATATTAATTTATACTTGATTTGTACAATATTTTCCTCAATGTTATGCATAATGTATAGCTAGGCCGCGTACATAGCATTAAATAATAAAGACAATTAAAATGTAGTTCAACATTGTTTGTTGAATTCAGAACAAAAACTGAAAAGGAAAGACTGGTTTAATGACATTAACAAGAGGTCCTAAGAATACCACAGAATTGAAAATGAAAATATGTTAATTAACTTTGCCTGGATAGACGTATTAACGATTAATTTTCCAAATTTGAGAATCATAATAAGAAAGAGAATATTTCAGCAGCCCATTATCTAGATAAATAAATGAGAAAGACAAAGAAATCATGAAATTACCAAGAATAAAACAGTTGCACAGTATTTGAGAACTTCAAGATTCATCCGAACATCATCTAAGCTCCTGAATGCAATAACAGAAAATAAAAACGATAGCAAAATACAATGGGTTGAAAGTGCATATGTAGAATAATGCAAAGGTAGACTTGCCTATGTGTTTGCTGGCCAATCCCAAAGTACGTTGCAAGAGTGGCCATCTGGACAAAAGAATACCTTAACATTAGGATATAAATGAATTGCCAATAAAGCTAATTACCCAAACTACTTATATTGATGTGTATTCGACATGGCTCCACAATTCAAGATATTAGAAATGTAGAAAGAAGTTTCAAGCAAAACAGAATAAACAAATCTTGTTTTACTCATCAATTAGAAAGATAAACAAATTGAGAAAATACCAAACAAAGTTGTATACCATCTAAAAAATTAAATAGAATAAAATTTGAACAAATGTTTTGTCTTCAACAATGTCACACTTCAAAGACAAAAGTCAGTGTTTCATGCAGAGATGAATATAACACAATAAACTTAAATAGAAATGTTAAGTACATTTTGACCACCTAAATATCGCTTAACCCATTTGTTTTTAGGAACTAGACTAAGTTTACATCTATGCACACACATTCAGTTACTTAACAGCTTAGTTCTCCTGAAGTGAGTTGCAAGCGAGACTTGTATAAGTACAGTAGAAATTTCAGAGATCTCAAAAGTTGGAATACTTATAAATGTAAATAAATAAAATAAAAAATTAACAATACTGTTCAGATGCAGCAGGGCCAACTGTTTGTCATTCGATAACACAATGTTTCTGTGTTATAGTCTTCCAATCATATCTCATGAAAAATATCATGCCCCACAATGTTGATGCATTATTCTCTTTATTGTTATTTTTAAAAAGATCCAACAATTTTAACTAATATGCAGAAGGATTCAACCTTCATGTCGCCAGCTCTCCTTCCAAACTTTTGTGTCAATATTGCCAATGAATCAATAATTCCCTTTGGCTCAGGAGCAGGCCTGTTAATCTCAGCAAATGCCTCCTTTATGCGAGCACAATCAAATCTCAATATATTATGACCTGCCCATATCCTCCCTACATATACAAGATAACAAGAAAAACCAAATTGGTGTTCAGAATCCCAAAAAGAAAAATTCCTCAAAGACACTTGAAATCAATATATATAAAAAAAATAAAAATAAAAATAAAAATGATAAAATGATTAGCTCCCGTTTGACCCCCATTACCTGAAAATGAAAATGGGGGGAATAGTATTTTTTAGAAAAATGAGTGGTTGAAAAAGAATGAAAAGTTTTTTATTTACGTGTAATATTATTTTATGGAAGATTGTGTGGTTGAAATAGGAGAGAGAAAAATGGAATGTAATTGAATTGAATTTAATGGAGATCAAACGGGGCTAAAAAAAAAAAACCATTATAAAAACTTCAGAAACCTCAGTATTTTAGGTGTCCAAAAGAACCTACACATACCTACCGCATTCTAGTTGAGGATAATCTCAAAAAAAAAACAAGAATGACAGCAATAAAATCCAGCCATTACCTTGAAATGAAGTAATTCTCTTCTTGATGATTATCATATTATCCTATTTATTTTTCCATTGTCAGAATACAGTGTGTGAGAATAAATTCACAAGGTTTATTAATACCCAGGAGCCTAGAATCTCCCCTACTACAACACAATAAGAAAACTAAACCTTCAAAATAAAATGGAAGAATTTAATGCATCCCACTCAAATATTCACACACTACTTATGTGAACCTAGAAATGTGCCATGGTTTGTACTTTGGATATCCTAGTTCGACTTTTTCTATCCAGCTCAAGTATTTGCACTCAAGCATAATGATTTATTTCGTGCTCTAACATGACAAATTTGAAGTTGATAGCATTTCCACATTTCTCCATTGTTAGAACTTTAATGGTGTTTTTCCCTGATAAAACAAAAAAAAAAAAAAAAAATGTTTTATTATCCTATTTATTTTTTCATTGTCAGAATACAGTGTGTGAGAATAAATTCACAAGGTTTTAAGGAGTATCCTAGAAAACTGAATTTGATCGAAACAGTCAAATTAGGAAACTGCAACCCAAGGCGTTTATATCAGCCATAAAAAATCATTTTACAGTTCTATAAAATGTTCCTTCCAAGTTAGCTTTTCGACTTCCTGCAGTCACTTTTCTATTCCAAATTTGATTCGCCATGCCCCATTCAATAAGTTCCTCTAAACTTAAAGCATACATAAGTTACAGCAACACAAAATGTAATGGTAAATTAAGTGAATAAAAAAGATACAACTCCACCCCAATATACATTACCCCTACATATAATTGAAATGGGCATTTTACCATGAAGAAGATCGTAGACCGTATCAGCGATGTCCATGAAACCGGGGGCAGAAATTACAGCCTCCTTCGTAATGCCATTACAACGAACAGAGAGAGTCGAAATATGCGCGAGGTCAGCGGGTCGGACCAAGGTAGAGAAGCTCTGAAGCTCCACCAGCTTCCTGGGGCAAACCAAAATGGCTCCGAATTCCAATATAGCGAAACCCTGCCCGGATCGGGTCGGCACTGTGGTCTCCAGATCAAAGAACGCAATTTCTGACCTGTCCTCGCTCGTTCCCACCATTTTCAATTCTATTTCTTCAATCAAACAGTCGCTCCAAATTTGAAAAGTGGGATTCGGCGTATGTATACGTATATATATGCGAGTGCATTTGCAGCACGGAATCTGAGGTAACTTGCAGGGGAAGGTTTTGGAGGGGAAAGAGAGGTGGTTTAGCACTTCAACATAGTCGTGTACGGTACGAGAAGAAGAAGAATATCGTGTAAAATGCGATTTACGGAAAAGCGAAACGTGTGGTGTTACTTTTGTGCCCCTACACAAGGAATTCATTACGCCCCGTTTGGCCTCCATTATTATTATCATTATCGGTCTTTTTCTCTCACTTATTTTTAACCACACAATCTTTCATAAAATAATATTACACGAAAATAAAAAAAAATTTCATTCTTTTTCAACCGCATATTTTTGAATAAAACACTATTCCAAGTTCCAACCATTAAAATTTGGATGGAATGGAAGCCAAACGGAGGCTACATATCCATCTTGAGATTTTGAATCTTGGTACGAAATTTAGAATAATATTAGCCCCTGTTTGCCTTCCATTACATTGAATTTTATTTCTGCTCTCATATTTTCAATCACACAATTTTTCATAAAATATATACACGTAAATCGAAATTTTTTTTTTCAACCACTCATTTTTCAAAAAACTATCATTCCACCCATTTTCATTTGTAAAAAAAAAATGGGAGCTAAACATATGCTTAGTTTTTCTGGCTCCGACTCTATACAATTGTACAAATTGCACGATTGACATGTTTCGAAAATCACGGTAAATTGATCGATTCAATTGAAGATATGTTCGATTATGAGTTTATAATTCAACAATATTTGAGAAAACATTATATTCTTGACTTAGTTAAGAGTACACCTAGCATATTCTTTTCTTTTTAATGTATTATAGGCAACCTACTTACGTGCATGGTTGACAAAGTTTGCATGCACGTATTTTAGGGTCAATTGCTGTCCTTCAATTGATGAGAAAATCCACATTAAAAAATAATTTTTCTTTATAAACGGGAAAATATTAATTTCTAATAAGTAAATTCACTTGTAATACGTTACAATAATGATTTTGACCTATTGTCATAGAAACATGACCTGAACTATGTTAATAGGTATTGCAACAACCTTATATCAATTACAATTACATGAATATTCAATATTATGCCTCTGTCTGTTTTCAATTTTTTGTCAAATTTAAATTCATTTTCGAATAGTTGCAAGCCGTGATTTTTGTCTTTTTATCTCACAATGGATCTCATATGTTGACCCAAAAAGGGGTCAAAAATACATTATTGTCTTCAAATAATTAGAAACAAACAAGAGCTACGAAAGCACCTACTCTAGCTAAAGTTGTTAATTCCACTTCCTTTTTATAAAAAAACCAAGTCTAATTTTAACATTGAAATGTTGAAGTGTTTTTGGTCACCATCCAGGGGCGAATGTAGACATTTAAAGTTAAGAGGCACAATCAAACTTGCAAAAAATTATGAAGAATTTTTCATTCGAAAATCTATATCCAAAGAAATATAATCCATGTAATTACGTCCAAAAATTTACACGAGTATGACTTATTCAAATGTAAAATTTCAAAAAATTTAATGTCATATCCCATGTAAAAAAATTTAATAAAATTATATAAATTATATTGAAAATTTGTATCGCAAAAAATAATAATAATTGAAATTTTTTAAAGAAACAGGAGTTATAGGTCTCTTTTTAAGAAGCACGTTTGACATATCTTTAACTATTTTCAATATCTATTTGGATCATTCGGTATACACATGATATAGTTCTCGAAATGAACTTCAAGATGACATAGACGCTTTGTGAATTCGGCTAACGTACAATCGTCGGAGAATTTTTAAAATTAGCATGTTATCGAAATTCTTGAAATAATAGTTTGAAATGACATATTTTGACAAGCTGTAACATTTGCTACGATTGACCATTTCAAGCACCATTAACAAAGTAGAAAAATAGATCATAAGCATTTCGAAATTATATTAAGAATGCAATATTTCGATTTCATTTGACATGACATATTAACTTCTAAAACTGAGACAAAAACAAAAAATTATAATAATAATGATAATAATAATAATAAATCCCAAAGTTGGGTGGTCACGTGACCCATGCCCACCCGTGTGTCCGCCGCCATCACCGTCTCAATAATCTTATTGAGTGACCTTACATTTTAACACTTGTTTACAATTCTTGATTTGCACAATTGACATGGGATTCTAGTGAAACTACGGATGTAGATTGCACTCTTAAACATTTTGATTGAGTTAATTTTTACACAAAATTCGAAGGATCCGCGAATATTACTCTCCATTTATACTCTTCCAAACATGATTATACTAATTTTGTCTAAATAAATAATCAATCTGCAAATACAGATTTTTATTTTTATTTTACTTGAAGACAATTTCTTTTACAAGAAGTCAGTTATTTTTCGATACAAATTTTGTAAAAAAAAATATTGAGAAAATTACATAAAACCAGGCATTTAAAAGTTTAAATTCAAAGTTTAGGGATAAAATTTATCTATGCAAACATCAAGTATTATATATAGTTAATTCAACCAATTCAATTAAAAACCCTATTCAATTCCCCAAATCAATCTCGTCACTTCCTTTCTCATTCATTTCTCTCCATTTCTCTCTCCACTTGACCACAACTCCAGCGTCACCAACACTTTCCGGCCACCTTGGCCACCGGACCCAACCACCAATAGACTCACCTCACTGCCCTCTACAACCTCCACCCAACCACCGGCCACCAACTCGCCGGAATTTGCAGAAAATTGCGGCCAAAGTTCCGAACTGCCGCATTCTATTTCAGCCGGATTCTCGTGTTCCGGCGACACCCATGGTCGCGGACCACAGCCGGCCAATAGCCCACATCCAGACGATCCCAAACATGGTCACAATTCATCCTATAAGCCACCCGATCGATCGGAATTGCAGATCTCCTGTCCGCCTGCGCTGCCCCCAGAAACGCAGCATTTTTCGTCCAATTCCAGTGGCTCCAGCGACACCCATGGTCGCGGACCACTGCCGGCCAATAGCCCTTGCCCAGACAATCACAGCCATGCTTTTAATTCATCCTGCAATGCCCCCAATCGATCGGAATTTAGCTTCAAAATTTCGCCTCTCTAAAATCGATCATTTTTCTCTCGTCTCTCACTGTAAAATCTGAGGCAAAAATCGACGATGAAGAAGCTGCTTCGGTCGACGCTACTGGAATCGGAGGCTATTGAGAGTTCATTACAGCGTCATCGATGTCGGTGGAATCGGAGGTTGATGGTGGCGGTGCTAGCAGATGAGAGTTCGTTGCTGGAATCGGAGGCTGATGGCAACGTTGGCATGGTGTGCATGGTTGCGCCGCAGATCTCGACGGCGATGGTGTAAGGCTGCGGTCGTGGTTGAGTGTGCGTGGGTGTTGTGGTTACGCCGCAGATCGCGACGACAATGGCCTGGTTGCGGTTGTGTGTGTGCGTGGTGTAGGGTGTGTGTGTGCGGGTGTTCGCGACAGCGATGGTGTGGTGTTGGCAGTGTGCACTGGCGGCATTTCTCCATGGCGCTGCAGATCTGGTTGGGTGCTGTGGGTGGTTGTTGGTGGTAGTGGCGATAGTGGTGGTTGTTGGAAGTTGGAAGAAGATGCTGGTGGTGATGGTGGTGACGGTAGACGATGGTGATGGTGATGGTGGTGGTGCAGGTGGTGGTGTTGTGATTTTGGGAACGGTCACAAGGCGAGGGTGGTTGCAAGTGACGGTGGCGGATCTGTGGGTGGTGGTGTGTGGTGTCACAACGGGGTAGGGTGGGATAAATTGTGACCATAAAATTTGTGATTATTCCACCATGACTTTAAAATTCGATAATATGTGACTAAAAATTAATTTGTGACCAACAAATTTGTAAATATGTGACCGATGGATAAATTGTGATCTACAATTTTTTTTACCTGTGACCAACGAAACAATCCGTAACCTGTAGAATTTTTTATTTGTGACCTCGACATAATATGTGACCAATAAAATCATTTGTGGTCTATAATTGTGTGTCTGTGACTATTAGTTGTACAACTGTGATCTTATTATATTTAAATAATAAATATATTTAATTAATTAATCAATACTTGAGTTCTGTATTTTTAAACTTGAGACTTGAGAATTGAATTGTGTCATACTCGATACTTGATTTTTGAACTTTTCCCAAAAATCTTTGGGAAAGCCACAAGCCTTTTTGCATAGGGCCTGTAAAGGGGTTCTCACATGAAGATGGACCCCACATGTGAACAATCCACCTCTACGCACCTGTACAGACTCTATGTAAAAGGCCTGTGCAGGTAGCAAGCTCCAAAGTCTTTTACTTATATAGCATTCATAAATTCGGCCCAACTAAAAGGAAATTCTGGGAGGAGAAGAAGCTACAAACAGCAATGGAAACAAGAAAATGTACTGGCACCTGAGCAAATGTTGAACCTTTTCCCACCCAAAATCAAACCCATCATTAATGAAAAGTCCTTTTTGGCTTTCTCACTATCGTCAAAAACAAGAGCATTTTCTTCGCCTCCCTCGTCCTGTTCCCTGTACTTGTCAAATTTGATCACTGGAATACTCAATTCCAAGAACCCGAGCCAAGCGCTCAAACTGTTTAACTCAGCGTCCAGAACCATAAACCCCTTGAAGACATTAAAACTCCACTCTGCTGTAATATATTGTTTAACTGAAGCGAAATTATATGTGAAGGCAAGGTGTTTGATAAAAGACCTCATTGAAACATTGCTGCAAAACCGGAAGCCTAACAAAGTTTCTTCCTCTATTTTCAATGCATTTAATCAGTTTGAGAGTGCGGGAAGTAATATAAACGTGTTTGGAGTGTTGATCATTGCTTTATGCGAAAAGGGTCTTGTCGATGAGGCTTATTGGGTGTACCAAAAGATAGGAAGATTGCCTGCTATTCAGGCTTGTAATGCAATTTTAGATGGGTTTCTTAAGGCGGGACAGGTTGAATTCATGTGGGAAGTTTATGGACGAATGGTGTCAAATGGCATGTTGCCTACCGATGTAAGTTATGGGATATTAATTGATGCTTGTTGTGATCTGGGGGATAATGCGAGAGCTAACATATTGTTTGATGAGATGGTTGAGAAGGGGTTGAAACCAACAGTTGTGATTTACACGACACTGATCCGTGGCCTGTGTGAGGAGGGTCGGATGTTGGAAGGAGGTAACTACTTGAGGCGAATGCAAGATGTTGGAGTGGTCCCTAATGTGTACACTTACAATACTCTGATGGATGGGTATGCCAAGAAGGCTAGTGTTAAGAAAGTGCTTCAATTGTATCGTGAGATGTTGGATCATGACGTGCTGCCAAACGTTGTTACCTATTGTATATTAATTCATTTGTTCTGCAGAATTGGTGAAATTGTGGCAGTTAGGAGCTATTTTGTGCATATGGTGAAGTTATGCGTCGTTCCTAATGTGTACATATATAATTGTTTAATGGATGGATTCAGTAACCAGGGCGATCTATCTGCTGCTCTAGATATGTTTTATGAGATGGAGAAATTTAGTATTTCTCCTGATGTTTTCACCTACGGCACACTAATAAAGGGCTACTGTAATATTGGCAGAATGGAAGATGCAGAAAATTTATTAAGGAAGATGAACGATACAGGAGTTGATGTGAATTTGGTCGTGTACAATACACTAATTGATGGGTTATGCAAGGAAGGAAGTGTCGAGAGGGCCTTGGAATTGTGTTCTCAAATGATGGAAAAGGGAGTGCAGCCCGACATAGTTACTTTTTGTACCTTGATAAATGGTTATTGCAAAGTAGGAAAGATGGGGGCTGCAATGGGACTATATAATGAAATGGCAATTAAAGGTTACCAGCCTGATGTTGTTGCTTATACTTCTTTGATTGATGGGCACTTCAAGAATGGTAACTTAAGTGCAGCTCTTCAATTGCACAAGGAAATGATAAAAGCTGGTGTTACTCCTAATGCATATACAGTTAGTTGTTTGATAGACGGGCTTTGCAAGAATGGAAGAATCAATGATGCAGTTAAAATTTTCTTGGAAAACAGAGCTGGATTCACCGGCACTGAACTAGAGCTGTCCACTAGTAGTTTTTCAGGGCATCGTTCCCCACTTCACATCATGTATTCTGCCATGATTAATGGTTTGTGCAGAGATGGCCGAATTTTTAAGGCCAGCAAGTTTTTCGCAGAAATGAGAAGCAGTGGTTTATACCCTGACGTTTCCAATTATGCTGTCGTCGTACAAGGTCATTTCAATGTGAAGCATATGTTTGCTGTCATGATGCTGCAAGCAGATATACTAAAGATGGGCATCTTACCAAACTCGTTCATGTACAAGGTATTAAATAGAGGTTATCAGGAGCTGGGAAATTTTGCATCAGCTCTGCAGAGTCGCGAGGATTTGTGGAATTCGGGTCTAGAAGATCCTAGCTTCTGTTTTAAGGAGTCTTTTGAGTTATTTAAACAATAATTTACGCAGTGGGGATAAGAAATTGCTTTGTACCCTCTAGTGGCATTGTATTCATTCGATTACGATAAAAATGATTCTTCCCATTATGAAAGCAAGCTTAAGTAGCAGTTGCAGTATCTAATATCAGAAACTTGCTTGTTTCAAGTACTCGAATGAGCAGAATGGCTTTATTCCTTGAGCTCAATTTTAGGTTCACGCTGTTCCAGGCAATTGGCTGAACTGACCTTTAAAATCGACTTGTAATAAAATAGTGTCCGATGTATTTATGACTTGATAAAGCAGATTTTCTACAAGTTATATGAGACTCAAATGTAGTCGTTACAATCCACTGCATTGAGAATTGATTAGTCTTCCATTAAAATAACATTCCTCAAGTCGCGTCAACTTCAAAAATATTTTATTAAGATTCTGCAAAATGAAGTCAAATCATCCGTTCAAATCATGACAACTTGAACTTCAGATCACTCAAATTACAATAGCGAGGGGTTCCGTCCACCTACTCCGTTTCTCTCTTATTCACTCGATATCTAAAGTATCATTATTTGAGTTATCAAAATTCGTGATTTGAGTAAAGATCTTGCTATATGAAATCGTTGACTCCGTTTCACCCCCACTCTATTTCTTTCTTATCCACTCGACATCTAAGGTATCATTATTTGAGCGATCAAAGTTTGAGATGTCGTGATTTGAGTGAAAGATCCTGCTATATGAAATCGTTGACTTCGACCCAATTATTTTTCACACACACAACATGCTTTCCACCAGCGAAATCAAAGTTGAAAGTAGTGGTTTCTCACACATTCAAAAATCACCTTTATATTTTGATTTTATCATCTTGCCAGAATGTAACATATGAACACAGAACAATTTGGAAACCATGTTTTTCATCTTATAATCCAGATGATTAGAATCATGAAATGTGTCTTTAGTCGAAAACAACCTCGTATTCACTTCCATACACACCTCAGGAAAGAAAGACCCAATCAAACCCTTAAAAATTATCTCAAATCCAATCCCACAAAAACTCTGTTGCTTTTCAAAGAATTATTGACAACAAAGCCATTTGTAATTGATAGCTACTCTCTTTTATATGCCAACAAAGCATGCATTCAAAAATCCTTGGTTAGAGAAGGAATGCAATTTCATAACCTTGTTAGTAAACTTGGCTATCAATCTATAATTGTCCTTCAAACATCGTTAATTGGTGTTTATTCCTCAGTGGGAAATCTTGATGATGCACACCATGTGTTTGAGGAAATTCCTAGTAAGAATGTCGTTTGCTGGACAGCATTGATCGCTGCCTGTGTTAATAATCAGGACTCAAAAAATGCTTTACAGATGTTCAGAAAAATGCAAAGGGACAATGTGGAGCCTGATCAAGTTACTCTCACAGTGGCATTATCCGCTTGCGTTAATCTTGGTGCATTGGAAATGGGTGAGTGGATTCATGCTTATATTCGACGGAAAAGAGAGTTGAAGGCAGATTTAAGCCTGAACAATGCACTCATAAACATGTATACAAAATGTGGGGATATCAGAACTGCTAAGCAAATGTTTGAAAGCATGAAAATTAAGGATGTCACAACTTGGACATCAATGATTGTGGGGCATGCAATACATGGCCAAGCACATGAAGCACTGCAAACTTTTGCTGCCATGGAAGAAGAAAACAAAAAGCCGATAGCCAAGAAACACGGTTATTTAATCGTTCCTAAACCTAACGATGTTACTTTCATTGGTGTCTTGATGGCTTGTAGCCACACAGGGTTGGTTGAAGAAGGGAAGAGATACATTAAAAGTATGGTAGAGGATTATGGCCTAAAACCTCGGAACTCTCATTTTGGCTGCATGGTGGACATTTTTTGTCGATGTGGGCTATTAAGTGAAGCATACGAGTTCATTTTGGCAATGCCCATAAAGCCAAACGCAGTAATATGGAGGACACTGCTCGGGGCGTGTGCCATTCATGGCTATGTAGAACTTGCATCAGTCACTTATTATAAGCTTCTTGAATTGGAAGAGAGCCTTGTTGGGGATGATATTGTGATGTCTAATATCTATAGTGCAAAAGGGATGTGGGATAAGAAATTGATAGTTAGAAAAGGGATAAAACAGAGGAGGGCTCCTGGCTGCAGCTCAATTGAGTTGGGGGATTGTATTCATGAGTTTGTTAGTGCAGATGATGATCATTCTATGGCAAATGAATTCTACATTGTTCTTCATCATTTGGTGGAAAATATGAGAACATATAGCCATGATCTTGAGTTGTCTAGCTTGTTCTAGAATTGTACAATGTTCTGATTAGAAATTCTTTTAATCACGCATTCAATGTGAACAATTTTAGAGAAATATGTTTGCGTCATGTAAAAGTAAACAGTTTTTTATTGACCATTTTAAATGGTTAGAACAAGATTGAAAGTTCGTAGCATATATGATCACCGAACTTACAAAGTGTTCTAGCTAATTCATTGACCACATATCTGCTAGTCGATTTCATGAATTTGACGATGTATCGTGTGGTGAGACTTTGGTGAATTTTTTTGTAAATGAAAAAATTGGATGACTCTAGGAATCACAGAGAACATAGTCAGCAATCATTTACGCAAAAATAATTCATGTGATTCTCTGTCAAATGGTACAATGTACAAATCTATAAATCTGCAACATATACATGAAAGAAGTTTCTTTAAAGTAGGCATATAATGATATAAACAAATCCCTCCAGCAAAATATGTTAACAGACATTCTGTCTCACAACAGGTCTAAACTATGTTTCTTACTGTTCTTATTTTCGACTTCAGAGGAATCCCTCCTTTAACATTTCATCTTACAACAACATTCAATATTTTGCTCTATCTCGTCCCATAGTTTATCTGCAACGAAAAGTAGATAGATGTTCAACAAAATGAAGAAAGGTAAAGGCAGCAAGAAATCAGTTAGCAGAGTCAAGCAGCCTTAATGAGCTCAAAGTTTGCATACACTCAACATAGAGTAGTAGGGTGGACAAATACATTATTTCATCATGTATCTGTCGTTGTAGCATAACTTTTAATCGACTCGCTAATATGATTTCAGGCACCTGGGAATCAAGAGCACACGACAGCTTGAACAACATTTTGAATGAAAATTTTATACTGGAACTGCAACAGGCCTTTTGCTGGTTTTGATTCCTTTAATGGCTGTAACACAGGACAAAATGTACAGGAGAAAGTTTAGATACATTATGAAATTACCGAATTCTTTCTAACCAACACTTCAGACGAAATTGTTTAATTCTTGCCTGCAGCGTAATCTGGAGCTCCAAAGACGGCGGATCCAGCAACTAATGCATTGGCCCCAGCCTCAATAACCTGTCAAAAATAGTCAAGTTATAACCAAGCCTGACATAGTTCATCTGTGTGCATAAAGAATGGATGGGACATCTCTCTCCTGAGCACTATCTTCTAAATTTTACAGTTCTACCATCAGGGCCTTCACCGGATGTTACCTCATAAATCTAGATGTACTGACAAGAAGAACACTGCCCTAAAGTCCAATTAGAAGATACACAAAATATCGCCAAATAACAATAAATGGAAACCCCAACATTGATGGCTACGGAGATGGAAAAGAGAGAGGGGAGAGATGGTGTTAAGAGAGAGAGAAGTGATCAAAATGGCTGACCTTATAAGCATTTTTAGGACCAACTCCACCATCTACCTCGATCCAGGGGTTCACTCCCTGCAAAACAAACAAAAGAATATGATTTGTTCTCAAATCATTGCTGATGGACAAGATAGAAACATTCTCTACCTTCTCTGCACACATTCTTCTCAAGTCTGATATTTTCTTAACTTGGCTCTCAATGAAGCTCTGCCCACCAAATCCAGGGTTTACAGACATAATCAATACCAGATCAACCACTGTTAATTGAAAAAGAGAAAATGTTATACTATGTAATTCGCAAACCGAATAAATTTTATTGGTTAGTCATTTCTTCTTATATATATTTGATTAAAAGTTTGAGTTTTTTGCAAATTCAGTTTGCCTAGTGAGACCTATGCCCTGCTACAACTGATTTAATGATTTACCCTCTATTTGGGAAAATTTTAGGAACAATTTAATTAATAAATCGATAGAAATGAGTGATGAATAAGTGAATAGTACTTGTAGATCTAATGCAATGTGTGAATGAAACTGAAATTTGACCATTTATAAATGATTTATAAATTTTGCCAAATGAAGGCTTAGCATTTTGCTTGATGTTCAAATTATAAAGGTAAGAATTTTATACTCGTGATTTCTTTTGTCAAATTTATATCCAAGTCCTCTTATCGTAGCCTTTAGTCAATCTTGGTCTTAACCTAGTCAACCACAAGGAGTACTACGAAAAGGAAATTTGAACCTTCTAGTAAATAAATAATCTCACCATCAAGAACATACTCTATGGCACTCAATGGAGTTCCAGGGTTCAGGACAACTCCAGCTTTAGCGCCTAGGCTCTTAACCTGAATTGTATGACAAAGTCATCAAAAACGTAGCTACCGAAATAGAATGTCAACGTGATCACCCAATCAGGAAATGCAAGAAATAAAACTAAAGCTAGAGTAATCCAATTTTTCTCACCAGACTATAATGCTCGGACTCGGGTACGAGTATTGGGAACGGGTACGTATCTAAATGTTGAATCCTTTATTTTATAAAATATAAGATACGAAAATATGGCTAAAGAGTCTATATTTCGAACACGGGTACGTCTTTCAAACTTCAATTTTTTTACTAATCCAAGATATCATTTTAAATAGACATAAATAAATTATTCACAAAGAAGGAAATAAATATTGAATAAGGGGTAAAGACGAATGAGATAGAATTTTAGAGGTTAGTTTTCAATTATGGAAATTACTGAATATTATATAAAATAGAAAATGAGGGACTTAATTATAATTTGGACTTCGTGGAGTACCAAAAAACACTATATGGAATCCATTATTATTTTATACAAACAAAACCCTAAACCACCATTATAGAGAGATAAAGAAGGGAAAAAAAGAAAAAAAATGGAAAGAAAAAATAAATAAGAAGAAAAAGAAGGGAAATCTAGCGTTGTCGTCTTTCTCCACACTCTCAGCGGCGACGCTAGATTTATAGAGAGAAAAAACGAGAAAGAAGAAAATGGAAAGTAAAGGAAAAGAAAAAGGAAAGAAGAAGCAAAAACGACGAAGTATTTGTTTGGAATTTGAAGAATCCGACACATATTCCATACCGATACCATTCCGTGTCGTGTCCGAGCATTAGAGGCAACGGAAGCATATAAACCAAATAAACCAACCCAAACATTATAAGAAAGAAAAGCCATCTCCATTACTATATAACACAAGACAAAACTTCCCCTTTCACTTTTCTTGATAACAATGTAGTTAATTGGGCAAAATAGAAGTTTCTATTGATTTAGGAAGTCGAAGTTCATGACTATCCTATGCGGCTTTAAAAAAAGCAAGTGGATTAACATATACTTAACACCAAATACAGTAGCAGAATCAATACAGTAATAAAAGAAAAAAATTGGAACCAGAGTACCCATTGTTTGCGGATTATAGAACTTTGATCCCAATTCAATTTTTCTATGATTTTAGGTCCACATTCAGGCAAGTCTATGGCTTCGTCCTTTTTGCCATAGCCTATCCACTAAAACTATTTCAGCAGTGTTTTGGAAACCTGCTGCAACCCCTAGTATTCTCCTCAACACATTGCCACCCAACCAGCAGCCAACAAAAGACACGTTCCTCAAGTTAAATTACTTAACCCCATAGAGTTCCTTCTGCAATTTTCTAATAGAACAATACCAAAATTTAAATACTGATTGAAGGGCTTTGCAAGGAACTAGTGCCGTCCGACCATCATGAACGTCACAATCAAATGTTAACTAAATCCAAGATTAGTAATAACATAACACATTGTAATGCCAGGAAGTTGTTTCACGATTCCTGGATAAAAGATAATGAGTATGCTTTAGAACGGAATAGTCACTTGCCCTCATTAGGACTCATTCTCTTTTCAGAAAAAGAGCAATTAACAAAGAACTGTGATCAAACCATACAAAACTAGAAATCAATTGCGCCAGTACACATTGTTGGAAAAAATAGACATGCATAAATTATTTTCAAATAACGTACCTTTTATGTGCATAAAATCAGAAAGAATTTTGACTTACCAAAATCGAATACATAAATAGAAACGAGAAATGCATGAATATGAATTTGGTCGAGGCAAGAGTTTTACTCTTTATCCTTAAGACGATAATGTCCCACACCGACGCTAAAGGTTTTTCGGTATTTGTTTCCCATGGTACGACGACTATGTCTCGCAATAGAAGCACTCCAAATTACGTAGACTAACGAACCTACTCATGTTTTGAGCCCTCCTTATTAAACTTGACTCCAAATAAATGCAGAATTTTGAAGTGAATATGCATTAATATGATAATGCAATTATGAAGTGGAAAGGATGAATAAACACATAGGGTCTATATATAGATGTTGAAAATGTTTGTCTTAAAAGATACAACATATGGAAGAGACACAACTATTGAAATTAGTCTCTATATTTGAAGAGACGAATCTCTTGGAAAATGATAATGCCAAGAGTCACAATTTTTCATATAGAAAGTTACCTTTTCAGAAAAATAATTTCTAAAATATTTCATAATATTCTACATAATTTTCTAATAATTCACTTATTTAAGTGACTTAAAGTTGGCTTAATTTTCCATTCACAAAATAACAACTTCCATTTAAATAATTAAGAATTGGTCAAAACTAATTTCATATACATATTTTCAACAATCTCCTACATGAATGAAAATTAATGCAAATGACTATGCAGACGCTAAAGACAGTTCAAGTGGAAAGCTATTGCATCTGGATAGGTACATTGTGGGTTTTAACATTCCTTAGTAAAATACTATCTGATTTACTTAGCTAATCAGTGAACACAATGTCTTGAACTGTCAACTGTTGATGTAAACCAAGACAATAGTACTCACACAATAACCTCCCAAATATTTTCGAGTTCTCACTATGTTCATTTTGGTCATGAACAATTTTTGAATTTCATAAGCGCTTTAAAGAATTCAAGCCTTGAAACATTCCCATGGAAGCGGCCCCACTTCACATTTATATAGATGATCTCCTATGAAGAGTACCTGCCATAACCTACTTGATTTGTCCAAAATATGGAAATCATTAAAAATATAACTTAACATAAAACTTTCTGCAGATAGCACTTTACTTATCATAGGAATGGCTAGTAATTAAATCCCAAGTGTTCATTGAATTTTTATAAATTATTTGTCCCATTAAATCAAAATCTTGGGATCTCCAGTCAATAATGTTGGGTTACCATTACAAAGATCCTTACGTAGTAGGCTTTTAAGCATATTCCCCTCGATATGCAGTATTCTTGATTTCTCAATAAATCTTTTCTTAGTCGATCCACGAGTTTACACCATTTGAGATCAATTGCTCAATGATATTATGTCTATGTAATCACAATACTTCATTTAATAGATATAAATTGTCACAGACTAAGAAATCCTCTTATGAAGCCACAAGCTTCTATCTAGCTTTAATCTAAAGTTACATCATCTTCCAAAAAAATTGTATATGAAATTGGTTTTGACCAATTCTTAATTATTTAAGTGGAAGTTGTTATTTGGTTAATGAAAAATTAAATCAAATTTAAGTCACTTAAATACGTGAATTATTGGAAAATTATGTAAAATATTATGGAATATTCTAGAAATCATTTGGTTAGAAAGGTATCTTTCTATATGAAAGATTGTGACTTTTGGCATTATCATTTTTCAAATGATATGTCTCTTCAAATATAGAGACTAATTCCAATAGTTGTCTCTTTTATAGGTTGTGTCTTTTTAGACAAATCTTTTCAACATCTATATATAGGCCCCATGTGTTTATTCATTCTTTTCACTTCATAGTTGCATTATCATACTAATGCATATTCACTTCAAAATTCTACATTTATTTGGAGTCAAGTTTAAAAAGAGGGTTCAAAACATGAGTAGGTGCATTTGTTTACGTAATTTGAAGTGCTCCTATTACGAGACGTGGTCGTTGTATCTTGACAGACGAATGCTGAAAAACCATTAGCACTCGTACGGGGCATTATCGTCTTAAGGACAAAGAATAAAACTCTTGCCTCAACCAAATTAATATTCATGCATTTCTCGTTTCTACTTTACGTAGTCGATTTTGGTAAGTCAAAATTCTGTCCGATTTTATGCACATAAAAGATATGTTATTTGAAAATAATTTATGCACGTCTATTTTTTCCAACACACATTACTCATACTAAGTTAGGCAATGCACTTCTTTTTTTATTTTTTCAAATATGGAAAACAGTTATCTACTGTGTGTAACCTGTTACATGAAATTGATATGATGTGGCAAAACTTGATTAAAACTTGAAGATGATACAGAAAACAGAAAAGAAGTTGGGCAATGCAATTCTTTAAACAACAATCCTAAGAATGGTCTCCGTCTATGGCACAAAAGGTTACTAGAGATACCACATATCAAAATGTCAAAACACTTGGGAAGCGTGTACCCCATAAACCGTTCTTCAATCTAAACACGTCCCAAGAACCAATGAATAGAGTATAAATTTAAGAAAGAAAGAAGAATGAAAAGTTTTAAGATTGTTTTATGTTTCTACAGTTCGTATATGTTCTTCAATGCCTCAACCTCTATTTAATTTCTCATAGGTTGTGCAAGCATGCTCTCCGAACTCCACATTAAGTTTGAAAGGCACGCCCTAAAAAATCCTTCAAAGAAGAGTCGCAACTTTTAAATTTTGCAATCATAGTTTCAGATAAACGCTGGGGATCTTCCTGTGATCATGAACTAGACTTCATATGTCTAGAGTCCAGGATTATTTCAATTCTAGTTGTCCAAACCCAAAATTACACATAGTTTATTGTTCCCAAGCAACTTCATACTTAGCTGACAAGTTCAAAGCTACTTCAAACTTACAAAGCCAATACATCATACTTTCATGGCAATTAAACGTCCAAACCCAAAACTCTGTACATCCAAACTTATTCTCTCCATTTTTCTTTCTTCCTTCTACACAAACAGAGAGAGATAACGAAATTATAGTTTTTCCTTTTAAAGTTAAAAGTCATTATTTTTAGATAATACAGATATCAATACGTGCTTAAAACAACCTTGCTGATCACATAGAAAACTTTCCAACTTCATTCAATGGTATATGGATATTGTTAGACCAATGCACAAATTAGAGGATTCACCATTTGACAAGACAAGGTCTCAGTTTATCTTAGCAAAAAAGGCATTACCATGTGAGACAAGTTGATTGTGGTTAATTATTCTTCCATACTCTCTCTAATGAAGGATTGATGGTAAAAATAAAATTAAAATATTGTACTCAAAGCCTGCCAAAGTTGAATGCATTTAATTAAAACCTCAACACAGGTTGCAATAAATATGGCATCATAATTTCATGTTCTTACTTGATTTATGGTGCGATGCAAATGGATGGTGGAAGATTGTTCACAATGGACACTAACTATATCGGCACCAGCCTTTATAAAATCAGGAACTCTTTGCTCAGGTTCCACAATCATCTGCAATGCATCAATTCTATTTTAGCAAAAAAGGTTTTCATGCAATGTAGGCCTGAAATTATATAAAAAGAAAAAAATGAAAAATGAAGAATACCAAATGCACATCTAATGGAAGGTCTGTGATGGGGCGTAGGGCATCAACTACAAGAGGCCCAATTGTAATATTTGGAACAAAACGGCCATCCATCACATCAACATGAATCCAGTCGCAACCTGCTAGCTCAACTGCTTTGACCTAGACATATAACATGTAAAAGGGTGAACAACGTAGACCTTGATGATCAATCACCTCTAGATACAACAGCCATGTAAATAATAAATTTCAAATGTAGCTAAAATCTCTGCTTCTGAGATCTAAGACATGGCCACGAGAGCAAATGTTAGAAAATAAAAAACAACCTGCTCTCCTAACTTGGAAAAATTAGCAGAAAGAATAGATGGAGAAACAATGATGTCACTTTTGGAGAACTTATCAATCCGAGCAGTTGCCTTCACAATAGTTCGAGATTTTCTCCTGGATTGAAAATAGAATAATATCAGAAAAGGACTGCAAGTCCACTGAAGCGTTTTTGAACACAGGGCATAAATCAGATACAAGCAGGAAAGAACTTTCAGGTTTGTACATTGAAGGTCAATGCTTAATTAACTACATTTGTTTTGATAAACCCCACGAATCAGATTTTAATATCCAATAATTGATCAAAACCTTCATGTAAATAAAACGGAATTCTACTCTGTAAATCTGTAATGCCCAAAAGTGATACAAACCTCAAAGGCTAAAATGGAATTACCGATATAGAACCAAACATAATCATCGCAACCAATAGGAAAGACATAATCTTGATATAGCATTATCCAAGAAAGATACAGATAGCCGCTATACATACCTCGTAAAAGTGAGTGAAATCGGATTAGAAAGAGAATATTTTTGAATTTTAAGACCCCCACCAATTGACTGAATCAAAGTCGACGAACCCAAAGAAGCAGCTGTCGATGCCATTCTTGATTTCACCTTTCCAAGATATACATATTTTTTCCTTTTTCACTCAATCTAAATTCTTGAAGTGAGGTTTTAAAGATGAGAAGACAGTAATTATTCCCCTCAAACAATTCACCAAATTTGATATTCTTGGAGGAGAAAGAAAGAGAAAT